TACTCAATACTGAGATAAAGAAAAGGTTTGTGTTTCCTAAAAACATAATTTAATAACTTTTATTTAGGAGCAATGTAACCTGTTGCATTTTCATGTGTAGCAATATGGACAGAAAACAGGAAAATACGGGGTAGAAGAGGGCGGTTCCCTGGCAAAGGCCCTACTCTCAAGCTTAGAAACCCACGGCCCTAACTGGGAACAGACATTCCTGTTTTCACACCCAAAAAGTTGCCTTTTGGCTCACCATACCCCCCTATCCTGTACCCATATAAACCTCAGGCCCCAGGCTCCAGCAGCAGATAAGCAGAAAAACAAAAATGGCAGAACGGCGCAGTAGAGTGGGAGAGAAGAGAAGGTGTGTCTGAATGTTGAGTTTGGCTGGAGGTGATGGGAGAGATCAGCTCGTGGATGGCTAAACTCCAGGGGAAGATCATCTTCCCACTCCATCCCCCTTCCAGTTTCCCACCCAGGCCACTGAAAGCCACATCCACCACTCAATAAAACCCCCACATTCACCCTTCAAGTGCATGTGTGACCTAATTCTTTCTGGACTCCAAACAAGAGCTTGTGTGGCAAGGGGGCACTGAGAGGCTAGCACTGAAGCCATCCTCGGACAGCAGAGCTAAAAGAGCACCATAACATTGGGACTTCAGGAGTCACAGGCACCCACCCCTAGATGCTGCCATGGGGCTGGAGCCCAAAAGTTCTCACCCCACTTCCTGCACCTGCCCATGTGTGTGCTCCCTGCCCAATAAGGGTTTTGAGCTTGCAGTGGCCTGAATACAGAGTCACACCCCTGTTGCATGTCCTGTGAGGGGTGTCAGGGAACATTGTTGTTTCAATAAGGTTTGTTCAAAACCTATAGCATTCCTTAGAGTTTTTAAATTATCTTAACACTTCTTTGGCCCTTCTTGCCCTGTTTCTAAAGGTGTGTCCTGTGTCCCATGTTTGTCTTTTATTGTAAATCACACCAAATCCTTTTTGGATACAGACACTATCTGAGTAATAAATGAATGCAAAGGTATGTATTAACTTTTACATATCTGTATTGTACTTTGTATTCTTTGTCTTAATCTACATTTAATCTTTTATTGTACAAAAGTAATTAATGATTCCAAAATTTAAAGATGTTTACTTTTTTAGAACCTTTTCTAATGAAGATTAAGCACGTAAAATTTCCTATACAAAAATAAAACCACAGCCATGCCTACCTGCTGCAAGCTATGTTTTCACTTGACTCCACAGGTTAATACTTTTGATTTTAAAATGACTTACCTTCCTTGTAGTGCTATGAGAGACTTGCATTAGCTATTTATGTATATATTAACTATTATAAAAGCTTGGAACAGAATGTCACTTATCAAGTAGCTAAACTTGGCAAGAGACTTTAAATTCTAGAAAGACTGCCTTCTAATGGAGGACAGAAGTCGGCTGAGGAATAGTGTTTGTGTAACAAAAGGGAGTTCCAATTTCAAAAACGGAAAAAAACATTTTGAAGTTATAGGAAAAAAAAGCAAGGTTGTATATAAAAAGGTACACGTTTAGGAACTACACCAATATTTGATTAATAGATGATAGGAAGGTTAAAGTTTTTAACGTGACATGCTCCAAATCTTTAAAATACTGTGAACAAATAGATGAAATAAAAGAAACTTTCACACAAGTTGGAAATGCTTTCTTTGGTAGTTGTGGACTAGATTTTTAGGTAAATTCCAACATAGTACCCTGCAAAGCAAACACAAAGAGAATAAAAGCAAGTATCTCTCTCTCTCTCTCTCTCTCACACACACACACACACACACACACACCACACACACACACAATGTGACTGTGACTTTGTGGCCTAGATTTCAAGGAAAAATACCAGAAATTCATTAAGATGTTGCTATAGTCAAAAAATAGCAGAGGAATCTCTGCACTATCCATGTTTCACCAATTGGCCATGTGAGGGAGAGCTCCCATATACACTGATACATTATCTTTGTCTTTGTAATTGATGCCCAATAGTTTTCAACCCATCAAATGCAGTCCTGATGGAAGGGACATTTATTTATCTCCATGTAAGATGATCATCACTTAGAATCCCTAGCTGATCTCAAATTTCCTAACAGCTTAAATCACAATAGTGAAAAAACAAAACAAAAACAAAAACATAGCACTACTAATTAATTTCCCAACTGCCAAAAGAAGATAGCATCTCACATACCTGACAGCACTTGTGAGTGCCTGCGCCCGCTTAGTGTGTTTAGATACTCTTTCCAAGTACCAGAGAAGACAGGTCATTATGCCCAGATTTTTACTAGCTGACTAGGTCCCTTTTTCCTGGAATGGGTAGGGTCGACACTATCCAGAGATTCTGAGGGGCCAAGAAAGGAAGATGTATTTATATTTCTCATAAAATAATGTTCTAGAACTTTAATGCAACTCATTATAGCCTTCACAGAGTCTGCATTTCCTAATGAAAAGCATTACAGGAGGTGTTTTTTCTTACATTAACATTCGTTTCACAATAAATTCTTCAAAGCATGAAATAATAATTTAAAGCAACTATGTCATGGCAGAGTCCTAATCCTGTATTCGAAGTCTGTATAGGTCTCTAAAATTCTTATCACCTAAAAACCTCCAAAAGACGTAGTGAAACTAGGTCTCTGAGCTTCCAGATGCATTTAAAGGGGAAATAACACCAGACAAAATACAAAGTAAAATAATAAGTAAAACACATTATCATGAATAACTATGTGGTAATAAAGCAGATAACAAGAATACATTTTTGTAAACATATAAAATCCCAAACTGGCACAATAAAAAATAGAATACTTACACAAAAAACCACAACAGAAATAGAAAGTAAAATTATCAGAGAATTACACATTGAAAGTTACTTATGCTGAGTAATTATAAGCAATAAGTTTCTCCCTGTATGTGTATCAACATGCAAAAATACAGTTCTCTGTATGACAAAAGAAAGTTGCAGTACTATTTAACATCATGCTAACATATATGTGTGTGTATATATACACACACACATATGCATGCTCACATGTTCTTAGAAAGAACAATCTTAAAAATTATATACCATATTGTTAAAAGTGGTTTCTTCCTGGGTACTAATTGGAGCAGGAATTAGTTCAAGTTTATAGACCCTACATTTGTTTTAAATTCTTAATTTTATTAATAAAAAAAGTCTAGATAAAAACAAAACTTGATGAAATATAACGTCAAATTTAAAACAACACTGAAAATAATCAAATGAGTTTAGCTTTTCCAGATCCCAAGGAAAGCTTCTAGAAAGTATAGAAGAAAACTATCTGGATTCAGAGTCACACGTAGTGAAAAATCCATGCTTTATTATCTAAAACAGGACTGCATAGTCAGCTGGGAAGTGGGCAGGGAAAATATTTTCGCCCTTTTCTGTTACCTCCAAGTAGCTAAGGCACAGGATCTACACCAATTTGAAATCTGGGCAGCCAGTACCCTAACGGGTGAAGATGGTTTTTTTAAGTAGACAGAGTATACTATAGTCAGCTTCTTCTAGTCTATCAACATCCATCTTTCTATAATCATTTAGAAACAATTCCTGACTTAAAGCATGAGCAGGGGTAAAAAGAAATGAGGAATGATATATTGTATGTTGGCATGTATAGTTCCCTCAAATACAGCAGTATAATTGAAGGTCGCCACAGAAAAAGTCTCTAAGTAGTGTGTTTCTCATTGCTACATCTAGATAAAGAATAATGTACTGTCTCATATTTTTCTAAGACATGCATTCTAAGAACAATATAGGGACAGTATGAGTCAATCCAGTAGTGTCTTAAAAAATGGATGCTGCAGAAAGTGGAAATTGAGATTGAGTCTGTACACGAACCTCTTTCTTAAATTTGTGTAATTTAAAATCTGACAGGAAGATTCTATCAGTGTTTACAGAAAGGGGCAGGAATCAAATTGGGGCACAATGAACTACCATTTAGTTGTTGCTCCAGAAATAAAAATTCTCCTAACTCTGGGTTCCTGATTAGCACAGAGTGCATACATCACTCTAGATAAACACTAGGTGTTGATGGAATAATTCTTGCTAAAAACTGAAAAGTTTTTAAAAAAGACAAGGACAAAACCCCACAATAAACCAAAAGAAATCATGATAATGTGGATGTTTATTTAAAAAAAAATAAAAAGAGACATGGCCTATCATCATGAAGATTCATAGGAAGAGTTTTTCTTTGTTAACGTGGAGATCTTGCAGGCTCACAGTGTGAACCTATGGCACCTTTGGACCTCTACTCTTCTAGACTGAGTGCTTTCTGAAGGCAGAAAAAATGTTTATCTCACCTTTGTATCCTGAGCACATCATCAACACAGAAACACACCTGTTCAACTGCAGGGTTTTAAAATATTTTTCCTGAAAATGTTTTGAACCGAGTCTATATTCCTGAAAATAAAATTAGTCTTTCTCATTGTCTCAAACAAGTTGATTAGTCGATGATGGGGGACATTGGTAGTTAGGTATACAGATGTGTTAATATACTCAGGAACTAGAATTTAGAGTTATTATGAGCAAAGAAAATCAGTTATCCAATAAGATGTTATTTTTTGACAATAAGATGTTAAAAGTATTTTGAAAGTATAGAAAAACACACTGATTCCTCTTATAATCTATTTCCAATGTTATTTCAGATATTTAAGTCAAAGACTCATTGCAGAAAACTGTTAGCTTCTGTTCCAGAATCCCTGAGTGGTTAAGAGTACAGGCTCTGAATAGAGATTATGTGAATTAAGGCACAGACTCTAGCATTTAAAAACTGTGTGAACTTAGCTTATCAATCAAGCCTCAGATTTCTTATCAGAAAAATGGGTTGCTGTGAGGATCAAATACATGTTTAGTGCTTAGCACAGTACCTGGGATGTAGACAGCCCTAAACATCTGCTGTATTGTCACACCTGCTTTGATTCTTTGCCTCATATCATTTTTTGGCTCAACTTAGGGCAAATAAATGAAACAGTTGAAATGTGTGCACTTATTTATTCTTCACTAACATTAAACCAGGTAATTTATTTCTGTCTTTGGCAAATAACAAATACAAATCTATACACATATTAAATGTTTGTATAAAATTGAATATTCATGATTTTAACTTTAACAAACACTGTCAGGTAAAAATCAAATTATTTTACTAAGTTAACATCTCATTCAATCAGTTGTAAGTTGTAATACTGGCATATTTTACAGGAGACTATTAGAAAAGGATCATATTAAGTCACTAACATTATAAATCTGACCACTTTATTAGGTTGAGGTGATATAGAGAAATATCTACCATCCTGGAGAGAAACAAGCAATCAAATCATGTATTACATGTTTAAAGAACTGAATTTATCATAAAATCATCAGTATCGGCACCCTAACAAAGCAACTTTGCCATTTCTACTTAAAGTACACTGTAGCTTGATCAGACAAACACTTATCTCAGCAGTACTTGTTAAAGCAGGTCTGTTTGTGCAAAAGCAAAACAGAAGGCAAAATAAAATCTATAGCCATTATTTATCTTGCACCCAGTAAAAGCCAAGAGATTTAAAGAAAGGACATTTTCTAATCCCATACCCATGCTAAAATCATAAACATTGCTGATACAAAACTCAGGGCAGGAAAAGAAGCTCAAACCGGGATGGTGAGTGGCAACATTTTATGTATGCTAAATTGGATGGCAATATTAGATTACATCTTCTGCAACTGTGGTGTCAAAAATCTGATAGCAAATTTGATTGTCCGTTCCATTTGTGACATTGTATGACTTGATGAAGCATTCCAACCACGGATATGCATCTACAAAAACAAAAACAAAAAAAGGTATTTAACCATTAAAACAAATAACTCTGAAATAGGTACCTAAGCTTACCACTGAGCTAGAAAAATTAACATTTATTTTGGCTTGAAAAGTAAGTAAACGTCCCTTCCAAATTTAACATTATTCTCTCTCCAAAACACATACTAGATTCATGTTATTGTTTTGGAGCAATTGTGACGAATCTGAATTTTTTGTCACAAACAGGTAACAGTGATTACACCTTGGGTTTCAAAATGGTTAGTATATATTTTAAAAATCTAAAATAGTGGTTAAAATGCGTCTACCAGGCCCATGCTTTTGGATATAAAGATTTACTTCTAGAAATCTATCCAAAAGAATCCAAACAGCTAACACAAATTAAAACTGACAACAAATAAAGGTATTCAAGTTAAACTTTGTTACAGATCAACACAAATTTCTATCATTATGTAACTATTATAAGATGCAAAGATTGACCAGGAAGAGTAAAGCCTGATTTAAAATAATATATAAAAATTAAACCCGCTGCTAAATCTGCAGCTGGTAAAATTTCGCACAATAAAAAATTGTGAGAAAAATCAAATTGTCTTAATATAACTTAGATCTGCAAGTTTCAACATAAGCACAAATATGGTCACAGAAGGAAAATTCAGTAGCAGTAGGTATAAGCAGTACAATTTGAAATGAGGAGGATCTAGTTTATTAATCAAATGTTTATTCAGAAAACAAAGCTCATAAAAATTGGTAAAACAAAAGCTTGTAAAATGTGAAACTAGTTAACACTAAATAAAAAAATTCATCCATGAATTAAGTTGGATAATTGGAGTTTGTTACAGAAAATGTTTACTGCCAACAATTTATCACTTTTGGTCTAATTTCAACTAAAATGCTTGTAGCATGACAATGTCAAATGTGCTTGTGATCAAAGCTACCCCCCTTTCCTATATTTTAAAATATTTTGACTGCAAGAATTTTGATTCATAACTATTTTATCCTTGCCACTCTCTTCATCAAAGGTTGATCATACAGTAATCAGTCACTACTTCGTAATTCATTTGAAGCAAAGCTTTCAGACTTCTAAAAGTCCACAGAGTACATATATGCTAGCGCTATCTCAAGTAAAAGACGTGTGGGACTGTTAAAATATTCTTGCCTACCAATTTTTATTCCTGGAGGACAAAACATATCCATGATCATATCCATACTTTTCTGAAGGTCATCATCCATTAGGACTTCTGATGCTGGGATCTGGAAGAATTTGTCCTTAAAAATGTTTCATGAGAGGAAAAAAAAAAGGAAATAATCATTTTAATGTTATTATTAACACATATTTCAATATTGTCCAATTAAAAGATAATCTAGACAGCTTCCCTCTATCAAGACTGTAGAATTCATAAACTAGAATGCTGGTCTCAACTCCAAAATCTTATTTGCTACTTTAATCTTAAAATAGCTTTGAGATATACATAATCAAGTAAATTGCTCTGATTTAATAATGATGATGTTAATAATGATTTTAAAACAAAGAGGCTAACTATTCTCTTTATGTATAGAAAAAACATCTTGTGCTAAGCTTAAATGAATATAACATATAGTATATGTATTATATAGTTATTTAATTTTTCTGTCCCCTATCAGGTTATAAGTTTCAAGAAGGAAGGAATTTTGCTTACTTTGTTCACTGCTGTCTCTCCATCACATAGGATAGTACCTAGTACACAGCAGGTGCTCATTAAATATTTAATGAAAGGTTAAATGAACTGTGTAGGTGGGAGAAAAATTCTCCTCTCAACTATACCTCAGCTCTTTTCCAATCCATGTAGTAAACATTTTAACTTTACCCTAAGAGAGGTCTGGGCTTTGACCTTAGCTTGTGGAACGTAATCTCTAAGCCCTTTCCATGTCACACTTGATAGAAGCATTTTTGCCTGGTAGCCTTGGGTCACTATGAAGAGTTTAATAGTATGATGTAGACTGGGAAGTTTGGAGCATGTGGTATCACGTTGATCTCAAGGGGGGCTGAAGACTGTGATCAGCCACATGGGCAGTCAACCATACCTACATGACAGAGTCCCACTAAAATCTTTTAGCAGAGCTTCCCTATCTGGCAATGTATTATGTATATTGCTACACACTGTTGCAGGTAAAGTAACAGTCCACAATTCTATGGGGAGAGGACAACCATAAGCTCCGTGTCTGGAACTCTCCTGGACTCTGTCCTGCACATTTCTTTCATTATCTGATTTTAATGTACATCTGTTAGCTGTAATAATCTGTAACTATCAGTATAATAGTTTTCAGTGAGTTCTAGGAGTCTTGTGAATTATCAAATCTAAGAGTGGCCTTGGGGACTTCCAATTGCAATTATTGTCAGAAATGAGGAAGATTTTTGTAGACTGCCTCAAAACTTTATACAATAATATCTATCTTCCCTGTCAAAGTAACTTCATTTCCTCTAATATGAAATGTGGAGGTTTAAAAAGTATGATCAAGGCCGGGCGTGGAGGCGCACGCCTGTAATCCCAGCACTTTGGGAGGCCAAGGCGGGTGGATCGCAAGGTCAGGAGTTCAAGACCAGCCTGGCCAAGAGGGTGAAATCCTGTCTCTACTAAAAATACAAAAATTAGCCAGGCATGGTGGCGCATACCTGTAGTCCCAGCCATGGGAGGCTGAGGCAGAGAACTCCTTGAACCCGGGAGGCGGAGGTTGCAGTGAGCCGAGATCATGCCACTGCACTCCAGCCTGGGCGACAGAGCAAGACTCCATCTCAAAAAACAAACAAACAGAAGTACGACAAAATGTTGATTACAAATAATGCTTCCATAGTGTAGCCGTATCTCTGCATTCTGGCTGTGGTATAGGAAATGACTCTTTAAATCCCTGTTCCTTAATTTTCCACTATTCAACTGTTAAGATTTAGTGTCAAATAAAAAAAGAGATACATACACAGATGATTCAAAATTTATGTGCTCATATTTTACTTATATTTTTAAGTTGCCTTAAGTCCTTTTAGGAATAAAGCAGGTATGAATACACGCATTCAATTTTTTAAATATTATGTTTTAATTAAAAATATCTTTACTACCTCTGATACTTACAGAATCCATGAGATAGGCTTCTAGCACTCCTGTTCCATCATCAAGTGTAAATGTCATAACAAACACATATTGGAGGGGTACAATACCCAGTACTAGTGAAGGAAAAAAAGATCAAACCATATGAGTCTGCTACTCCTTATTATCAAGGTAAAGTTAAAATTGTTTTATGATAGTATAGACCTGTAAATTTTATTTACTAAAATAACTCAAGATACAAAGAAAAACTTGGCATTATCTCCAGGTAGACAGTGTCAGAATTGAATTGGAGGACACCCAGCTGGCATCTGCTGAGGGACTGCCTGCTTGGTGTGTGGGTGAAAACCCCTATGCGTTTCGGTCACATAAGTCTCCTGTGCTGATTGCTGTGGTGTCAGAGCAGAGGACAAACAGTTTGTGTTTTTAACTCCACAGATACTCAACCTATAATTAAGCTCATTTAGCAGATTCATTTTGGAACATTTCACTATACCTACATAGGGAGAATATCTTATGATAAGAAATTTTATCTTTTTCGATTAAATATTAATGTATATTTAAAATGAGTTGACACCCTCACACCTGTACTCCCAGCACTTTGGGAGGCTGAGGTGGATGGATCACCTGACAGGAGTTCAAGATCAGCCTGGTCAACATGACGAAACCCTGTCTCTACTAAAAATACCAAAAAAATAGCGAGGCACAGTAACATACACCTGTAATCCCAGCTCCTCTGCAGGATGAGGCATGAGAAATGCTTGAACCTGGGAGGCGGAGGTTGCAGTGAGCGGAGATTGTACCACTGCATTCCAGCCTGGGCGACAGACTAAGACTGTGTCTCAAAATAAATAAATTAAATAAATAAATAAATAAAACAGTTGATAGCCTCCATAGAAACCACAAAAAGTGATTCATGAAATGTAACTCATTGCATGTTAGTTTTATGAAAGATAAAATTAAAATACAGAATGTTCTAAAAAATAGCATGCAGTTAAATACCGTTTTAGCATGCCTCTCTCCATTATAAGCTAGGGGAATAATTTGTAATTTTAAAAAAGAAAAAAGGGATATCATCTGGTTGAATGGACAAGAATGTCAGAATCTGAGATTTAATAATTTGGTAAGATGAGGAAGAAATAAGAAATTAGAGATACTGGGTAACATGAAAATTCACAGGTTAAGATAAACATCTTCTTGTTTGGAAATGAAGATACTCAATTTATAGAACGTTTTATTAGCTTCTATCTGTGGAACCCATATTTAAATAGTAGGACTAATTAAGAGGGCAAGTAAGAATAAATTAGGACATACAGACATGAACTAGGGCATACAAAAGACATTACTACAGGGGAACTGATTTTTAGGCTTCAAAAGGTCTCAATAGATTAAAACTGTGAACTAAAACTAAGAAAGATGAACTTAGTAACTACTCCCAGGAACCATAAAAACAAAAATATTACATTAAGAATAGAATGAAGAGACCAAGTTCAAGAAGCTCATGTGACAGGAAAAAAAAAATTACAATAAGAATAGAATGAGGAGACCAAGTTCAAGAAGTTAATATGACAAGAACCCAGGATTTCAACGTACCACAAATAAAACATGAGATAGCTGTATTAAAAAGGAAAGAAAACAAAACCAAGTGTACAAGTAAATAGCTATACGATGACATTTCAGGCTAGTAGAAGTGGAGTGTCCAATTTTAGGTAAAAAATAATTTCACTCTGTTCTGAACTGGTCAAACAACATCTGCAGCACAATGTCCAGCTCTGAATGCCAAATTCTGAGAAGAGCACTAGTAAAGTGGAATGCTTACTGAGGAGGAAAAACAAAATAGTAAGGCACAGGGGAAAGTACAAACAAATGTGATGGTGCCTGCTTGAATAAATACAGACTAAAGAAAGGCTTGGCAGATATCTTTAATTTTACAAAGTCTGTTTATCTTACAGAAGAAGGAATAGGTATATAAAGAAGGAATAGGTATACTTTCAGGTATACTGAAATATAAACAGGTGGAATAACCTTATATACAAACAGTTAAAATTGCAGGGCATGGAAATTTAGCTAACCTTCTGCCACAGAAGAAGGAATCCATGATGTTTTATCGACCAACGAATTTAGATTTTGTATGGATCTCAAACTAGAACACTGCTTACATCTGAAATTTATAAAAGAAAGAACCATAAATATTTAAAAACAATTTAGCTTGTTTAATTGTTATAACTTTTTACTGCTCAAACGTGTAGTTTTAAAATATAAATTATTAAACAGAAGAATACTGCATCCCCTATATTGTAATGTGCTTGCTTGTTTCACAAGAGTATTATGAAGGAGTAAGCTTGTTACATAAAGGCAATAAAAAAGGCAGTATAAGATTCAGAATAAACAACTCTAAATTGAGAACAGGGTGCTGGGTTCCAGGTCCAAATCATTAATTAATTTTGCTCTCAATTTCCTTATTTGTTAAAATGAAAAGTTGAAGAAAATGATCATCTCTAAGAATTCTCTGATTCTATGAGCAATTTTTTTTTTTTTTAAGATAAGGTCTCAGTCTGTCACCCAGGCACTGCCACCTCTGCCTCCTGGGCTCAAGTGAGTCTCCCACCTCAGCCTTCCAAGTAGCTAGAACCACAGCTGCACACCACTATGACTGGGTAATTTTTGTAATTTTGTAGAGACATATCTTGCCACAATGCCTAGGCTGGTGTTGAACTTCTGAGCTCAAGCCATCTGCCTGCCTTGGCCTCCCAAAGTACTGGGATTACAGGCGTGAGCCACCATGCCCAGCCTCTGTAAGTAATATCTTAATAAATTCAAAGTGTTAATAAATATGGCAAATAGAGAAAAATTACTAAACAGTCAGAACATGCAATATTCTAGATAATGAATATTTTTAGTAAGCACATATCCAGAGCTCTGTAGTTTACGATGCCTAATTCCATAGTTAACTTTTGAAATGTATGTAAGTCTAAGACTACACAATACACTAAAGTTGTGCATTGTGTAGTACAGGTATTTTGCTTTACTTGAATACCAATGTATTTTAAATATGAGTAATTTATTTTTTATTATGCATCATCATAATATTTATGAGATGTTAAGAAAATATACTTGAAAAGATATACTTGAATAAAAATAAAAGTTTAAAAGGTACATGCACATTTGTTCTCATTTGCACTTTGAGGAAAACAAGAGGGTAACCATATTGCATCTTATCCCCTTCTACTCATGAAACAAATAGATGTCTCTTTTCTAACAAAAGATGTTAATTTAATGAAAGAATATTATTGCCTAAGAAAAAGACTATGATATTGATTAGCATTAGACATTATTAAAGTAAGTATAGCATAAAAATTAAAAATTAAGGATATTAAGTCAAAATTAAATACAGAACTACTTACTTCCAAAGCAGCGAAAGGGGAAACAGAAAAAATTAGAAACATAAACTAAATATATCAATAACTTAAGAATATATTTAAACTCAACTATTAAAACTAAAATTTAGCCATAAGCTTTTATGTATGAGTGACATACAAAACAGAATGCCAGAAACTTGAAAGCAAAGGGATGAGAGTAAGCTATAAAGCAATTACCAAACAAAAATTTAAAAAAATCTATAAAACACAAGAAACTGTAAAGTTAAAAAGGCATGGAATACATTCAAAGTATGGATGAAACTGACAAAAGATTAGTATCTCTAACATGGAAAGAAACCTTACAATCAATTACATGTATGTGTGCTCAAACATGAACCAAAAAAGAAATCAGTAACCACACAGAAAAACAGGCAAAAGATGTGAACATGGAATTCACAGAGTAGGAAACCTACGTAGTTGATAAACACGGGGGCTGCTTAAACACACTAGACATCTAGGAAATACAAACGAAAACATCATGGATATCATCTGATGCTCACTGGAAAGTTACAAGTTAGACTAATGCCAAGTATCAGACAGAAATAGACTAATACCAAGTGTTGGAGTGAACTTGGTAGAACTTGCTAGAAACTAAAATTTTATTAATCACTTGATGGGACCATACATTGTTAAAACCATGGGAAGAACAACTTGGTATTTTTCCCATAAAGCAAAACTTACAATCGAGTAATTCTAATTCCAGGTGAACACCTTAGGAGTAACTTTCAAACATTTTTTTAAGGACTCACAGTAAGAAATTCATTTAATATCGTATCTTAGTAATACATACATACACATACAACTGAAATGAAAGTTTAGGGAACAACAATGACCCTTACTCTGTAAAATGTTCTCTATTATCCATTCCCTCTCATTCTATTTCTTACTACAACCACATCATATAATTTAAAAAAAAAACTGGTTATGACCCACTGAACTCATTTTATGACAAGAGAAATACACAAGAAAACATATAATGTGACTTCAGCACAGTCTGTAAATGAAACAAAAAACACATATCCATTAATAGGAAAATAGGCTAATAAATTCTGATACTTCATAACATACTCCATAGACGTTAAATAATCTAAATCTACATGCGTCAATAGGGGTAAATCTTGAAAATAATAATGAATCAAAAAAAGCAAGCTTCAAAAGGCTTGGCATAGTATGAAACAGTTTATATAAATTTAAAAAACGAAAAATACACCACACTGCTTAAGAATTCACACATATAATGAAGGCATAAAAACACTGATGAGTAGGATTTCATACAATTTTGGAAAAGTAGCTACCTCTGAGAAAAAAAGAGTTAGCGAAGGGATTGATACGGGGTTATACTACTTCTCTGTAACATTTAATTTCTTAAAAATAAAAGTTTGGAGGCCAAGGCAGGTGGACTGCTTGAACTCCAGAGTTCAAGACCAACCTGGGCAACACGGCAAAACCCCGTCTCTACAAAAAATACAAAAATTAGCCAGGTGTGGTGGTGTGCACCTGTAGCCCCAGCTACTTGGGAGGCTGAGGTGGGAGGATTGCTTGAGTCCAGCGAGTTCAAGGTATACAATGAGCCTAAATCATGCCACTGCGCCTGGGTGCTGAGTGGACACTCTGTCTCACAAAAAAAAAAAGAAAGAAAGAAGAAAGAAAAAGGTCGAAATAATGTTAAAAACGTTAAGATTTTTAAATCTAAATGGGAATACGATAATTTGGATTTATTTATTACTTTCATATAAGTCACAAATATTTCATAACCCCAAAAATAAAAATAAGAATCAAGTTTTAAACGAAGTATATGTTGTGATGATGAAACTTTTACAAGTAAAAAAATTTTTTAAAAATGCTTTAAACACTGAGGTAAGTGAACAACATTGCCCTAAGTTTTTTGACAAGAGCAACTAGTAAAAATAGGCTCGACCAGCCCCTTGGTTGGGGCGCAGTGGCCCAGCGCCCTGTAAATCCCAGCACTTTGGAAGCCGGTGGGTGGCATCACTAACGTCAGGACGGTCAGACAGCGTTGCCCAACATGTGAACCCATCATTCAATAAAAATAAAATATCGGGGTACCGTCGGTCGTGCCTGTAGCCCAGACATCTCAGGGGGCTGAGACACTGAGAATCGCACTGTCTGACCTGGGGAGGCAGGGAGGTGCCAGGGACATGACATGGTTGCGAGATTCATTGCCACTGGGCCAACTGCGAGCGGGCAATAGAGCAAAACTCCATCTCAAAATCAAAAAAAAAAAAAAAAATGGAAAGGGGCCTTAAGGTGTAGGGAGACCTCCTGAAACTATTGCTATGAATAGATTGCTATGGTTCATTTAAATCAGAGAAAAGGTGGAGATGTAGGGGAGACACCCTGGAAACTATTGCTACGGAATAAAAGATGAAATGCTCCTGATTACTATAAATACAAAATTGCATGCAGGAGATGTGTGTAAAGGACAATGCCAGGGGTTGGGACTGCCAGAATCAGCCAACAGCGTGTGATGGCTTCCCCCTGCAGAGAGCCTATGAATGAACGTGCAGTCAGGGAGTTTTTCACACCACCAGATTCCTATTCCAGAAAAGCAGAGTTCAATAGCTGAGGATGGAATGTGACCCTTGTGGGGAGCCTATAATCGGACGCATGGGGGGGTGCCTGTCCATATGGATAAGATAGGGCTATAAATGCCCTCATCTTGCTACGGCGCTTGTAGGCCTCTTTAGGGTTCATACTCCCTTCTGAGAATTTCTGGTCTAACCAGTTGTCTAACTTCACGTCCTGTTTCTATGAATTGTTCGTAACCACCTTTTGCTGCAACTGTTACCGCTGTTCCTGTTTTAAGGCTCTGTTAGAAATTACTGATGTACACACTATGTTGTAAATTCTTATCTCTATATACTGTACTTCTATTACAGATGTTAAAGAATTACTTCATCCCCATGTGACCATCTCACCTCATAATCAAACGACCCTAAATCCCTCACTAACCTACCCCTGCCCTCACTAAACTTAATAATAAATGCTGGCATATTGCATTGTTGGCACCGTGGGACCAGAAGGTGGTGACCCCCCCGGACCCAGCTTTCACTATCTCGTGTGTGTCTATTATTTCTCCACCTGCCGATCCGCCTGGGAACAAAGAGAGAGCCCCGTTGCATTGTGGGCTGCTGGCCAGATCCCGCAATATTAGGGTAATTTTGTTGAGACTTTTAGTGAAAGAAGAAGTAGTATTTCAGAGTTTAAAATGAATATTTCCTTTCCTGGTTTAGACTCGTCATGGTGCCCAGTACTGGCAAGGCAAAATAGAGAGAAACGGGAAAGAACAAAAGCTAGTGAGTGAGGATCTGCATGCAAAAAGATAAAGCTCAGTGATTTATTATACAAGAAAAAAAGAATTTTATGAGTCTTAATTTTTTAATTAATTGGTTTAATTAAAAATCACTTTATTTTCAAAAAAGACTCTCAGATCATAAGACTAATGAGAGAAGGAATTAGACACTGAGTATATCAGAGTAAAAACAGCAACAACACAGAAATTTAAGTCAGTGGCATACAGTTTCTCTTTATGGCTAAAATTTTATGATATGTTGGAAGAACATAGGGCAATGCCTAATAGTGACTTTACCACACAATTAGGGAGGTATCATGCTTGCAGTATAATATTTTTCAACCAGTATATAATTTTTCAATCAGGATTTGCACATTATGACAATGACTAATGATTGCTACAAATTTAGAAGTCGGAAAGAAAGAGGATGATAAAATACATGCTATAATCCAAGGTTTCTCAAATTAGAATATGTCCAGGGTCATTGTTTCATCAAGCAGTAGAGGAGATTTTATCCCTATCCCCTCCTTCTAAATGTAGAAATCTGTTTAAAGCTCGAATGAATTCTTTTATATTCCAATTATCAGTGGCAGCAAATTTGTGATTTAGTGGCTCAGAAATTCTGAAATTCAATCACTTAATTTTTACCAGGTTTGCAGCTCTGAATTTTTCTCTGTAACTGGTATCTAAATCCTCACTGTTAAAGAAAACAAGAGAGTACCAGCCTCTGGCTGAGGAATTAAAAAGACGGCAGCCTTATGCCTCACACATTGTGTGTACTCTCACTATATATGCTTATTGAAAGAACAGATATATGCCAGAAAAACCTATACATATAAGTTGATATACTGTAAGTTTCTGTTGAATAGTCACCAATGAAATAAAAGAATAAAAATTACTCTTAAACAGTTTTTAATTCCAAAAATTTTCTCAGTTGAAAACACTACCACACATCTACAACCATCTGATCTTTGACAAACCTGAAAAAAACAAGCAGTGGGGAAAGGATTCCCTATTTAATAAATGGTGTTTGGAAAACTGGCTAGCCATATGCAGAAAACTGAATCTGGACCCCTTCCTCACACCTTATACAAAAATCAATTCAAGATGGATTAAAGACTTAAATGTAAGATCTAAAACCATAAAATCCGAGAAGAAAACCTGGGCAATACCATTCAGGACATAGGCATGGGCAAAGACTTCATGTCTAAAACATCAAAAGCAATAGCAACAAAAGCCAAAATAGACAAATAGGACCTAATTAAACTAAAGAGCTCCTGAATGGCAAAAGAAACTATCATCAGAGTAAACAGGCAACCTAGAGAATGCGAGGAAATTTTTGCAATCCATCTGACAAAGGGCTAATATCGAGAATCTACAAAGAACTTAGACAAATTTACAAGAAAAAAACAAATGACCCCATCAAAAAGTGGGCAAAGGATATGAATAGACACTTCTTAAAAGGAGACATTTACGCAGTCAACAAATATACGAAAAAAAGCTCATCGTCACTGGTCATTAGAGAAATGCAAATGAAAACCACAATGAGATACCATCTCACGCCAGCTAGAATAGCAATCATTAAAAAGTCAGGAAACAACAGATGCTGGAGAAAATGTGGAGAAACAGGAATGCTTTTACACTGTTGGTGGGAGTGTAAATTAGTTCAATCATTGTGGAAAACAGTGTGGCAACTCCTCAAGGATCTAGAACTAGAAATACCATTTGATCCAGCAATCCCATTACTGGGTATATACCCAAAGGATTATAAATCATTCTACTATAAAGACACATGCATACGTATGTTTACTGCAGCACTATTCACAATAGCAAACACTTGTAACTAACCCAAATGTCCATCAGTGATAGACTGGATTAAGAAAATGTGGCACATATACACCATGAAATACTATGCAGCCAAAAAAAGGATGAGTTCATGTCCTTGCCGGGCATATGGACGAAGCCGGAAACCATCATTCTCAGCAAACTAACACAAGAACACAAAACCAAACACCGCATATTCTCACTCATAAGTGGGAGTTTAACAGTGAGAACACATGGAGACATGGAGGGGAACATCACACATCAGGGCCTGTCACGGGGTGGGAGGCTAGGGGAAGGACAGCATTAGGAGAAATGCCTAATGTAGGTGACGGGTTGATGGGTGCAGCAAACTACCATGGCACGTATATATCTATGTAACAAATCTGCATGTTCTGTACATGACCCCAGAACTTAAAAGTATAATCAACAAAACAAAACAAAACAAAACAAAACAAAAAACATACCCATAGTGATGTATTGTTCCTTGTATAAGAAATGGTGCTGAAAGGTCCAAAAGTTCCAGGTCTTCGTGGCCAGATCTCACAGGAATTACACTATTAAACTTGTTCGAGAGTTTGCAAATTTCACTGAGTGTACCTCCTGTTAAGAGAATAAATAAATCCTTCAAGTAGTGCAAATAAAATGTAGACAAATGTACAGTCCTATTAAACAACATGTGAGGTATAATAAAAGACTAAAGGAATCGACAGAAAAAGACAATAAATGTATGTGAAAAATATTAATTTGTAAATGTACAATCCTATATATTGATTAAAAAAATCAATCCACAAAAATGCTGAGACTCGGGTAAAATATAAAGCTTGTGAAATTTTAACTAATTTCTTAAATTTAAACAAATTGCTTTTTATGCCAGGAACACGTTGGTTCAAATAACCAAAAGAGGGAATATAAGCTAAAAGCCAGGTTATGATCAGATTCTCACTAGTTTGCTATATACTAATTAATATCTGGGCAAATTTAGAGTTTAAATCTCAATTTTCCGGTCAATATTTCATTTAAATATAGATATGAGTGGTTCGTGTAATATGAATTCACATATAAAATTTGTTCATTTTTCCTGGGAATATTATCACACTTAATTCTATGACAAAGGAAGCATTCAAATGACCAAGCTGGCGGAGAAGTATTGCCTGGTGGCATGCCATTATTAGAAGGCAGTGTCCTTTTTACTTAGCTTATAATGCTTCCTCTCTCCAGGCAAAATGAATAGGATTTAAAAAAATACCTCTGTGTATTTCCTAAAATTTGGGTAGAATTTGTAATGTCAACATTCAATTATAAAGGAGAAGTACTTCTGGCATAGCAGAGTGAGGACATCCAAAGACACCTGACTGTAACAGCAGTTAAGAATATCGGCAAAAACTGTAAAACCTTTTTTAGAACTCTGGAAATTACCAGAGGCCTTCAACAATCCAAGGAGTGTTTGCTCCAGAAAAAGGGCTGAATTTTGGCAAGAATGGTTGAGCTCTGTGGCATTTTAACTTGCCCTGTTCCCATCCTCCTTCCCCCAGGCTCTTTGTTACTGGAAGCCACAGTTCTGCTACATCATATTGCGGTTAGATAGAAACCCTCATTATGCATGCTTAAAAACTCCAAACAATATTCCCTAAGCATGCTACTTAAAAGTTTCACAGTCCAAAAGTTAGTCTATCTTCTGGAGACGGATACCTAGCCCTGCTAAAGAAACTCCTGCCTACTGTTCAAAACCGCAATAGGTGACCATTCACCTATTCTCATAGTTCTTATAGAGAAAGAGAACTCTTCTCTCTGAGTTCCTCCCCAAAAATACTATTTCAAAGAATCTGTTGAGAGCTCATCTAGTCATTCACACTGTCTATTCACACGAGTTTGGCTCTGGCAAATAAGCTGGACAACCTTGGTCAAGTTACTTAAACTCTAGTATAACGGTTTTCCCATTTATAAAACTCAGAATAATGTTACTCTGTAAGATCATTATAAAGATTAAATGAGTTAATATTTGTAAAGCACTTAGAGCCATGAGTGACTATTATTATCAACATTTTAGTGATTTCCTCTTAATATGAAGTCCATGAAAGGAAATACTTTGTTGTGTTTGCTACATTACCACTAATGCCTAAATCAGTGTCTGGCACACAGTAGGCATTCAATAAACATGTGCTAAACAAATGAATGAGTACAAAGAAAGACATTTGCATGTATATACGTGCATACTAGGTTTCTCAAGGTTTGTATCTGGGGACATCCTAACTGAGAGCAATTTATTTGCAATCAGTAGAAATATTTAACATGGACTATGGAGACAGAAAGGCCTAAGTGTGAATTTTTTCTGACATTTACTAGGTCTTTAACTTTGAGTACTTCACCTTTTTCTCTTGGTCTCAGTTTCCTCACCTGTTTAAAAAGGGGATACATCTAGCTTACAGAAGATTGTTATGAGAGTTAAAGATAAAATACTAAAGTAGGCAGTACAGTGCCTGACACATAATCTATTCAGTAAATTATAGGTAATAATAAATATTATAATAAAATGATTTGGTGACATCAGAGTTCCATACAAATTATGTTTCAGAGTATGCAGTTTAAAATATAATGTTAATAATAAATATTGTAAACAATTCTATACCCACAAGTTTGACACCTTAGATAAAATGGTTCCATTTCTTGAAAGACATAATCTATCAAAATTCACACAAGGAGAAATATATCATCTGAATAGGTCTATGTCTATAGAGAAATTAAATCAATAATCATCATCTTGAAAAAAGTCACCAGGCTCAGATTGTTTCAATAGATAAGTCTACCCAAACACGGAAATGATACCAATTCTCTACTATGTATTCCGGAAAATGGAAGTAGAGGGGATGTTTCCTAATTCTTATGAGGCCAGCAATATTCTAATACATAACCAAATACATTACAAGAACGAAAAGCTATAGATCAACTTCTCTTATGAAAATACATACAAAAATACTCAAAAAGTATTTAAAAATTGAATCAAAAAAGAAAATAATTATTCACTATGACCAAATGAAATTCATTTTAGGTATGCAAGGCTGGTTAAACACCTCAAAATTAATTAATGTAATTTATCACATTAATAGGTTAAAGAAGAAAAATTGTATGATCACATTAATAGATGCAATAGAAAAGCACTTGATAAAATTCAACATCATTAATAACAAAAATTCTCAACAAACTAGGAATATTGGGGAGCTTCTTCAACTTGACAAAGAACATCGATAAAACAGCTACAGCTAAAATCACATTTAATGGTGACACTTTCCACCTAAGACTGAGATAAAAGCAAGAACATTCCCTCCCATTGCTCCTATTCAATATTGTACTGGAAGCCCTATCTAATGCAGTGAGAAAAGGAAACAAAAGGTATACACACTAGAAAGGAAGAGATAAACTGTCTTTATTTACAGGAAATCACAACAAAAAAATTCCTGAAATAATAAGCAATTATTATCGGTAGAGGATACAACGTTAATCTAAAAAAAAAAAAATCAATTGCTTGACTATACATAAGCAATAAATAATCGGAGTTTGAATTTAACATTAAATAATTAGCATCAAAAAAGAAAATACTGAGGTATAAAGCTAACAAAATGTGATCTATATATTGTTGGATTTACAAGATGTATCTGAGTAAAACTATAAAACCCTAGTTAAAGAGATCTAAGAAGATCTACATAGATAGTCCAGGTTCATTGTCAATAATATCAAGATGTTAGTTCTCCCTCTCCAGCTTGACTTACAGATTTATGGCAATCTTTTTTTTTTTTTGAGATGAAGTTTCGCTCTTGTTGCCCAGGCTGGAGTGCAACGGCGTGATCTCGGCTCACCGCAACCTCCGCCTCCCGGGTTCAAGCTATTCTACTGCCTCAGCCTCCTGATTACTTGGGATTACAGGTATGCGCCACCATGCTGGACTAATTTTGTATTTTTAGTAGAGATGGGGTTTCTCCATGTTGGTCAGGCTGGTCTCGAACTCCCAACCTCAGGTGATCCGCCTGCCTTGGCCTCCCAAAGTGCTAGGATTACTGGAGTGAGCCACCGCGCCCAGATGGCAATCTTAACAAAAATTCCAGCAAGTTATTTTTTGATATTGAAAAACTGCTTATAAAGTTTATATGGAAATGGAAAAGATTTACAATAGCCAACACAATATGGAAGACAAAGAAAGTTGCAGGACCAACACTACACAATTTCAAGAATTACTGTATAGCTTTAGAAATAACAATGGTGTGATATTGGGAAAATAACAGATAGCTAGATTAAAACAGAACAGAGAACACAGAAACAAATTCACAAAAATAAACTGGTTTGACAAAGAAGCAAAGGTAATTCAATGGCGAAGGAACAGTCTTTTTAACAAATGGTACTGGAAAACTGGACATCTGCATGCAAAAAAAAATCTGGACACAGATCTTACACCTTTTACAGAAATTAACTGATACTGTTTTGTATGAGACTCTAATGGTGGGTACATGGTATTCTGCATTTGTCAAAGCATAAATAACTGTAAAGCAAAACGAGTGAACCCTAATGTAAACTAGGGTCACAATAAAATAGAGTCAACTGCATTAACTTGGCATGAATATCAGTGAATGCTACTGTAGGTGCTTAAAGTCTAAGAATGACTTTGTATTTATATCATTTTCTTTAGTTCATCTCTAAGTCCAAGTCAGTTTTTGATTTTGTTACTTCCTAATCTGAATAGTGCCATACTTCAGTAAGATCCTAGTCCTTGGCTCAGGTTATACTTAGAAACATAAAATAAAAATAGCTCACATTTCTTATATTCCTTTTACATTTCAAAGTGCTTCTACGTACATCCTCATTTTTTTAAAAAAATAAGCCTTTTTTAAAAAGAAGTTTTAGGTTCACAGCAAAATTAAGCAAAAGGTACAAAGTTTCCCTATGTCTCCTAGTCTCTTCTCCATTATCAACATCTTGCACCAGAGTGGTAAATTTAGTCAATCAAGAAACCTATTTTAACAAACCACTATCACTCAAAGTCCACACTTTACATTAGTAACAAACCATTATCACTCAAAGTCCACTCTTTACATTACTAACAAACCATTATCACCCAAAGGCCACAGTTTACATTAGCTACAAACCATTATCATTCAAAGTCCACAGTTTACATTCCTAACAAACCCATTATCACTCAAAGTCTAGTCTATATTAGAATTCACTCTCCGTGTTGTACATTCTAGGTTTTGTTTTTAAGACTTCATTTTTTTTTAAGAAGCAGTTTCAGGTTCACAGCAAAATTAAGAGGAAGGTATAGAGATTTTCCATATCCCCTGCTACCATACACGCTAGCCTCCTCCAGTATCAACATCCTCCACCAGAGTGGTACATTTGTTAAAAATGAACCTATACTGACACATAATCAAAGTCTACAATTTACACAGAATTCCCTCATTTATTAAAAACAAAGCTAAATATTACTCTAATGCAAATTAAAGAAGGTATTTTTCTTCTATTACAAAAGGTTACAAGGGAAGGAAAGCCTTAAGAAAAATAATGAAAAGGTTACAAGGGAAGAAAAGCCTTAAGAAAAACTCTAAACTTGCCATGAGAAAAAATTTACAGTACATATTTTAGATAAATATTAGATAAAAATTAGATGAAAATGAAAAAACAAACATGATAAATTTCATTTAAAACTTGTCAAGTTATCTTTACTTGTTTCAATGGTCTCTTCTTTGATTTTGATACAATAGATGACTTTCACCCTATTTCTATGAAACAACAGTGACATCCAGAGGCCAATAAAACAGCGACGGTACATAAGCAATCAGCCTTTTATTATTACTTAACTAGACAGTCATGTTAGCATTGACAAAATAAAATGCAATCCAACAATATAGTTAAATGTTAACACTTGAGTCTGAAGTACAATTTCAAATGTAATTAAGATAAATTTATGTACGTGTGCATATATATATTTGAATCCAGTTAACATATATATTTAATTTTGTAAAATTTAAATACTATTTTTACTTTATATGTTCTGGGTTGTCTGTAAAATATATTAAACAAAAATTAGGAAAAATATGGAAAAGGAGTATTCTAACAAAACAGTGACTTAAACATCTTACCTTCTATCAAAAGTAGACATTCATTTGAAAGTGGGAGAATACCATTATTTTTCACAAAATGAACTGCTACTTTTCGTCCTTTTTGATTTTTAGTGGTCCAGATTTTTGAATCGTATAATGCTGTATTTTGAAGCTTGACATCTGGGGTTTCAGTTGCACCATCCTGCAAAATTATATCCAAATCACCCTCACGTGGAACTTCTTGCCTAAAATTATTGACAATGAAATGACAAAAATCAATTTTGGTATAAGCTTGAAGATTTCAATTTAACAAGTAATCAAATTAAAAAGTATCATTCTTATATGCAGATGAGTCAGTTACTTTTTCTTAAATTATCTAAATTATGGAGACAAATAATTTTTTGTTCTGCTTGTTGCAGAACAAATAAGTTTTTTCAATAGATAAATATTTGATATTTTGTGGGTAAGTATATCCCAATCATAATTACATTAATTACCAGTGATTTCCATGCCTGGTTTTGTGATACAAAGCCACTTATAATTATTTCTAGTATCAATTTTTTTCTTCTCCGTAAGGAATGCTAAATTTCCCAGTACGAGAAAAAAAATACAGTGGCCCCCTGTCTTCACTCCAGTTAAATATCCACTTACCATACTTAGGGAAAAGGGTACTTCTAAACTAATAATATTTCCAATTCTATTTAATAATTAATAATTTTGAGAAGTCATATGGTTAAGTATCATGTAGCAGAAATGGCATCATTTGGAATCAAAAAGTGTATGGTTTTATTCTGGTTCTGTTGTCAATTAACTATGTAACTTTAGATAGTTTCTGTTAATTTCTGAGATAATGTCCTTATTTGTTTAAAAAATGATCACAGAGAGTGGTTTTATTTTACAAAGCTGTATGATTTTACAAAATTCAATAAACCAAAATTTGATAATACTTGAAGAATTATCTAAAATCCTTATATATACATTTTAATCCCAACCACCATTTCAAGCTCAAATGGCTAAAAACTGTTCCCTTACATTTTATTTAAAGAGATTTTAAAATAAAAAATTTCCTCAAACAGCATTATACTCAAATTTTTGAGGGGAAAACATATGTATATTAATGAACACTAATACTCACAATTTATAAGCACACAAATACATGGCGATGTACATATATATATACATATTGTAGCACATTTTAGTGAAAACTCAATTTATGGCATCCAAATGCATACAGCCATCAATTATCTACATTTTCCAAAACATCATCTTAGATATTCAGAGGAAAAATAAGCAAATTGCAAAAAGATGAGGAGCTTTTAAAAATGAATTTTAGAATATGTCTCAAGCTGATTACGTAGTAAAAGGATTACAAAACAGTTATATACATTTATTACATATTTATATAATCAGTGATCAGAGTAAAGGCACTGAGAAATTCTCAATTACTACAGAAAATTTAAATTACATTTATTATATTCTAGTTATTAAGTAGGACAGAAGTTTACCAACAAGGCTCCCTGTATCACTTAATTAGATATTTCAAGTAATCACAACTCTTTCCAAAAATTTCAGTTAATAAAGGTTTATATTTAAGAAGATACTTTTGTGACAAATGAGTCTGCCCAAATATATTAATTATTTATTATTTCTCATTTGCCTTTATCAGAGTGACTAAGCTGAATTTTAGATCTGAAAATAGCAACCACTTTTATTACTATCAGAATAATTTATTCTCTAAGAATTTAGCATTTTACCTAAAAAATTTACCACTCTTGCAAAATATATTAACAATTTACTTATTCCTAAGACACAAAATTATACATATGTGCACATATATACACAAATAATATGAAAGCACATTTGTTTTATTATGGAAAATACTCACAGTAAATGACATTTAGGGCAATGAAGTTTAACAGACTGAAATAGTCTTCTGGGCTTATATGACCTCAATTTTGCTCGGATGCGATATTGTTGAGGAGCTTTTTGTTTCAAAATGGCACACAGTGGTGTCCTCTCCAAATATTGATGATCTGTAAGTACTGTAAACAATTTTTATATATTAAAACAGAACAGCAAGAATCATATTTATGACATGCATCCTTCTGAACCAAATATATACTATAAAATTTAATTAATTTTAGATCTATTAAGTGTCACTTCATGAAAGCAAGGGTTATGTCTTTATTCCCTAATGTATATCCAGGGCCCACTAGCATACGGCCAGGCACACAGTAGGCACTCAACAAATGTGTACTAAATAAACACTGGATAATTTGGGGGAAGAAATAACTTAATTGCCTAGTAAGCATTCAAAAAAGTATTTTTATATGGGACTAATGGAAATCTGGCTAACAGAAAAAAAGCAAGGTTTATGTAGCTAAGAAAATAATATGCTAGGCAACCGTTTAAGTTCTAATTGGTGTCTGCCACAAAAGAATGTAACAAAACACACTTGCTGAATATTATTTGCAGGCTCTTGGATGTTTCAAGTTAGTTACGGAACTATCATTTATAAAATCAGATTAAGAATAGGAAAGGACATTAAGGGTGATATAACTGTCATGGGAGTGGTGTAGTAGTGGAGAAGAGAAGAGGAAGTTTGGGGAGTTGGAAGGAGAGAGTGGAGCAGGAGGGAGAGGAAAAGGAAGAGGAAGTTGAATCAAACTGGAAAAAAAAGTCAGACAAAAGCATTAGGAGCAATTGCCTGGGAAATAGGTACAAGAGGTCTCCTCAGCTACTCGTGGAAAGATGGCCTGGGTGATCAGTTTTTACTGGAAAAAAGTATAAAATTGCTGGTGACCCTTAGCTTAAGGCAACAGCTTGCTATACATTCTAGCTTAACACTTTCATGTGTTTTAGAAAAAGAAAATGAAGTACAAATCTTATCAACCTCAATGGCAAAGACAATTCCTTTCAGCTTTAATTCAGTGAAATTCTTGTTGAATTAGTTTTCCTTCAAGGATCAAACGGCCAAGAGTTTACAGTGGAACATTTTGTTGGGTGGAGATTTTTTTTTTTTTTGGAGATGGAGTTTCGCTCTTGTTGCCCAGGCTGGAGTGCAATGGTGTGATCTCTGCTCACCACAACCTCTATCTCCCAGGTTCAAGTGAGTCTCCTGCCTCAGCCTCCTAAGTAACTGGGATTACAGGCATGTGCCACCACGCCCAGCTAATTTTTGCACTTCAAGTAGAGACAGGGTTTCTCCATGCTGGTCAGGTTGGCTTCGAACTCCCGTCCTCGGGTGATCTGCATGCCTCAGCCTCCCAAAGTGCTGGGATTACAGGCGTGAGCCACCACACCCAGCTGGCGATTGTTTTAAAAAGACCATTGGCAGACCTGATCAATTTAGTGTAAATTGCTACACAGTGATAAGAGCAATTGCTTCAAACTCATATTTTAACCTAAAGTTTTTAACTTTTCATTTTAAAATGCTTTCAAACTTAAGGAAAATTGTAAAAACAATACAAAGACCTTCTGTATAATCTTCACCAAGATTCACCAATTGTTAACATTTTTGCACGTTTATCATTGTCACCGTGTCTGTCTTTACCTGTCTCTCAACACGTAAATATTATTGAATCATTTGAGAATAACTACTAGACATTATGCCTCCTTTTCTCTAAATCCTCCAGTATGTATTTGAAAAGAAGACATTTTATTGACATAATTACAGGTAATTTTCAACATTAGAACATTTAACTGATTTATTACTATAATCAAATTAACAAACATTACTCAAATTTCTACAACTGTCCTCAAAATGTTCTTCGTAGCATTTATTTTGTTTTCAAGTCTAAGATCCAATTCTGGACCATGTATCACATTTCATTCTCATGTCTCTTTAGACTTCTTTAATGTCAAATAAATCCTCAGTTTTTCTTTATCTTTCACGACACTGATATATTTGCACAGCTATTTACTCTGTAGAATAAATACCAAATTGTGTGTGTCTGGTTCTTCTTCAGGCTCAGGTTTAGCTTATGCATTTTTGGCTGGCATAATGCATACGTGATACTGTGTGCTTCTCAGTGCATCACATCAAGGGGCATACAAAGTGAGTGTTTCTATTACTGTAGACCTCAACTTTATTCACCCGGTAAAGGTGGTGTCCAATCACTTCTCTACTAAAAACTTACCGCTTTCCCCTTGCATTTAACAAGAATATACAAGTAAATATCTTATTTTTCATCATATATCTTGATAGTTTAGAATCCACAGATTCATAACTAACTCAACAATGACTATCATGGTTACAAAATGGTGACTTTTCTTTTTTTTAATTTCATCATTCCTTTCATATTTGTTATTTTACTTTAAGAAAGATATTTCCACTTAACCCCATATATTTTATTTTTCCTTTAGCATCATCAACATGGGCTCATGCATTCCTGCTTTACTCAGTTAGTATGAATCTTATTTGTTTTGATGCTCAAATGTTCCCAGATTAGACATGTTCTATCCTAAGCCATTTGACGAGTTTCATCATTAACTGAGAACCTCCTTACTTTCTAGTACTACAAGGTTACTCCATACTAATTTTGTAATTCCCCTGTTCTAGTTCTGAAATCTGTTGTTTCACCAAGGAGCTCTGATTCCTTTAGAGAAAAATATTATTTATAAACCACGATCTGTGCACTAGGTTTGCTTATGGCAACTGGAGTGCTGCTGCCTCTATGACTTTTCATGGAGGGAGAGATAGGGTATATATGAACACACATTCATACTGACACACACACACCCCTATAATATAAACGAAAGTGTGCGTATGTATGTGAATATATATGTATCATACATACACACAGCTGCATCTATTTCTGTATTTACCTAGGAAAACATGAGTACATGATGGCACCTCCAATTACAATACAACATTAAAAGCATTCATCAATCCTTTTCCCATTCGTATTTGTATCTTCTTCCTCCAATTTGAGAAATTAAAATTTAATAAATTTCTGCTTAAAACTATTTTTCTGAAAATTGTATTAATTATCTGATGAAACAAAAGGAGGGTACTTGATAGACACACTATCATTACTAACATTAAATTAAAATTTTGAGGCATATTGCAAGGAGCTCCTTTATGGTACACTGTTTAATGCATCATGTGACAGGATAACTCTTCGTGTAACAGTTTAAAGATATGTGTCTTTACATTGCATATTTTAAGTCATGTAACTCTAACAGAGATACATGACTTAAAATACATCAGGTATTTAATGCTTAAAATATATATCTGTTTTAAACGTTAAGTCTGTTAGAGATATACGACTTAAAATATGCAATGTAAAGACTCGAATCTTTATGGGTTCCGTTTTGTGCCAATGGCACATGGTAGAAGAAGAAAGTTAAATATGGACATATTTTAGCTTTAAAGGATACGTGTTCTACTATTAGAAAGAAATAGATTAGTTGGTAAGTGTAGAGGCAGACTTTATTACACTCATTACTGTGCCCATATCAAAAATGATACATTGTCTTACTTGTAGCAGATAGCTGTTGACATCTTTCTACCTCATACAATGATACTGATCCAGAGCCTATAAAAAGGAAAAGGCAAAAGAATTAAGCCCATTACAACTTCAACGTAGAACTGAAAACAGTGGAGCATTGCTGAGAGAAACTGAAGACAATACAAATGAATGGTGAGATATGTCACATTCATGATTTAAAAGGCTCAATATTAAGTTATCAATTCTCTCCAAATGAATCTGCAGATTCAGTATAATCCTTTCAAAACAGCAGAGACTGGGGTGGGCACAGTGGCTCACGCCTATAATCCCAACACTTCAGGAGACTGAGGTGGGTGGATCACTTGAGGTCAGGCGTTAGAGACCAGCCTGGTCAACATGGTGAAATCCCTTCTCTACTATAAATACAGAAACTAGCCAAGTGTGGTGCAGATGCCTGTAATCCCAGCTACTCAGGAGGCTGAGGCACGAGAATCGCTTGAACCCAGGAGGCGAAGGATGCAGTGAGCTCAGATTGTGCCATTGCACTCCAGCCTGGGCAAGAGAACGAGACTCTGCCTCAAAACAACAACAAACAAACAAACAGCAGAGGCTTTACTGCAGAACTTGCAAAGCAGATGCTATCACTTATGTGGAAGTGCAGAAAATCTAGAATATTAAATAACATTTTATAAAATAAGAACAAAGTTGGAGAACAATGTACATAACTTCAAGACTTACTATAAACTTACAGTAATTTAAGACAACATAGAACTGGCATGAGGATTGAAAAATAGATCAACTGAATTAAATTAAATAGAGAACCTGGAAATAAACCCACATTTACATTGTATTTTGATTTTTTACTAAACCAGCAAAGCAATGCAAGGAGAATGCAAAAGGTGATGCAATAATTGAAAATTTAGTATGGGGAAAATGCATACTTCACACTATACTAGTAAGCATTGAATGGGAAGACTAGACATAAGCCCACATTTATACTCGCTTGACTTCTGACAAAGACATTGAAGTCATCTAACAGGAAAAAGGAAACAAATGATGCCATAACAACTAGAAATTCCTATCTAAAGAAAAAATGTCTACCACATATCATGTGGCATTAAAAAGGAAACAAACTAGCGATATACGCAACAATGTGATTAAATCTCAAAAACATATAGTATGTAAAAAAGGATACATATGATTCAATTTTTTCAAAGTTCTAGAACTGCAAATCTAGAGGGATTTAGGTTACACGTTTATGTATTAGTCAAAACTCATGGAGTGGTTCATAAAATGGAAAGTTGTCCATTTCACTGCTAATTTTACCTCAAAAACAAAACTACTCAACTCTAGCTAATTATGTTCATGCCACAGTGTTTAGAAAATGTACTTATGTCTGCAACTTACTTTGAAATGTGTAAAAAATATAAATTAATGAATGAAAAGGCATATAAGCCAGGAGCGGTGTCTCACACCTGTAATCCCAGCACTTTGGGAGGCTGAGGCGGGTGGATTACCTAAAGTCAGGAGTTCGAGACCAGCCTGGCCAACATGGTGAAACCTTGTCTCTACTAAAAATACAAAAATTAGCCGGGCATGGTGACAGGCACCTGTAATCCCAGCTACTTGGGAGGCTGAGGCAGGAGAAGCTTGAACTCAGGAGGCAGGGCTGCAGTGAGCTGAGATCGTGCCACTGACCTCCAGCATGGAGGACGAAGCAAGATTCCACCTCAAAAGAAAAAAAAAAAAGAGGCATATAGAAATAAATGCACATGTGATGGAGCAAACAAAGTAAAATAGTTATTGGAGAGTCTAGCTGGTAGGTATTTGAGTATTCATTGTACAACTGTTTTAACTCTACCATGTACGAAAGTCTTTATTATGTTGAAAAAATACAGTGTAGAGGAAATAAAAGGGGAGATGGATAAAATAGTAAACTTATGAAATTTAATAGAATGACCAAATGAACATCAAAAATAGGACTTTAACAAGAAAGCAAAAGTAGTAGTCATAGCATTTAGGTTACAAAATGCTTTCTAAAAAGAAGAATTTAAGACTTTTAAAATCTGTATTTTGTAATCACTTTAGCTTACATTCTATTATACATAACAGTATATTATGTTTTTATAATTTATTTTATAAAGCATTACACACAAACATATCCTCAGTATTGCTAATAAGTGGTATAAAAATCCAAGTCAAGAGGACTTGAATGAACATCTCAAGCTGGCATTGGTATAATTTCAATAAATCTAATTCAGTAATTAATATTAGCCATTACAACACGAGATGGAAACAATGGCAGAAACCATAAAAGTAGTCAAATAAGAAAATGTGTAAAACATACATGGTTGCCCACAAACTGACAAAAATATAATTCAACAGAAAATCAGATAAAGGGTAAGAGCAAATAATCTGAGGAAGAGGGAATTAAAAACGTTCGTAAACATATAATAAGATTTTCAAGTTTCCAAGTAGTCAGGAAAGTTAAGTAAGAAAATGCGTTTCACCTGCTGAACTGTCAAAAATTACATGTAATGTTAAATTCCAATACTGTGAAGGTGTGAGGAAAGTACATTCTTCTATATTGCTATTTGGATATAAATTCCTATGACCTTTGGTAAATAATCGGGCAGCATCTATTAAAAGACATGCATACCCTTAGATATATCAACCTCACTTTTAGGAGTTGATTGTGGAGAAGTGCAAACATGGAAGCACATATATTCAAGGATGTTTATTAAAGTATTATTTATAACAGCAAAAAACTGGTAAAGATCTCAACGTCTATTAAATGAAAAATGAAAAAAGTGTAACATTATTACTATGCAACTATAATGAATTTGAGTCATATGAATTAGCTCAGAAAAAAAGATCTATAATATATTGTTGAAGAAAGCAACTATTTATTATAGTGTGATTTCATTTTGGTAAAAATTTAAGAAAAAGAGAAGAGTCATATTGTTTATGTATAGGTATATATGTTTGTATAAAGATGAAGTGATTGAAGGAATCACACTAAACTGTTAAATCTTACCTCAGGGAGTAGGGAATAAAGGCATAGTGAAAGCTATTCAACTAGATATTACAACACCTATTACAGTGTACTTTAAAAATAATGAAAGAATAATTCTAAAAGGAAAAAGAGATTGTAAAAAGTATAATTACAAATTATATTGTCTCCAAGTGATTGTCATTTGAACTAAATCGGTTTCCTCATGGTAGTTCAAGTAATCATACACTAGGCCACAATGTTATCACGGAGGTGTTAGCATTTTAAAATAAGTAGAGTTTTAAAACAGAGAGAATGAAGAAAATAAATGCAAAGTACATACCAAAAAATCAAAAAGCCTGCATTTGAATTTGTCTTGCTTTATCATCAGTTAACAGCTAAGTAACCGTGGACAAATTATATGATATCCATCCATCGAAGCCTCAGTTTCCCATTGTTAAAAGGAGACAGAATAATTCATCTCATAGGAGTGCTGTTAGAATTAAATAATAATGCGGCCGGGTGCGGTGGCCCACGCCTGTAATCCCAGCACTTTGGGAGGCCAAGGCAGGTGGATCACGAGGTCAGGAGATCGAGACCATCCTGTCTAACATGGTGAAACCCCATCTCTACTAAAAATAAAAAAAAAAAAAAATTTAGCTGGGTGCGGTGGCAGGTGCCTGTAGTCCCAGCTTCTACTCGGGAGGCTGAGGCAGGAGAATGGCATGAACCCAGGAGGCGGAGCTTGCAGTGAGCCGAGATTGCGCCACCTCACTCCAGCCTGGGTGACACAGCAAAACTCCATCTCAAAAAACACACAAATAAACAAACAAAAGAATTAAATAATAATGCCTGCAGGCACTTACATGCCTACCAAGAAATGTATGTTAATTTTCATGCTTATCATTATTGGGATGGAAAGAGAATAAATCTCATAAAACGATTTTTCGGATCACAGCAAGGTAGGAGTTAGGTAGAAAATAAAACAAAAACAACAACAACAAAAAAACAAAACAAAAACAAACGTGACCTAGATTCCAGGTCCCAAAATGCAGATGTAGAAATTCAGACAGGCCAGGCGTGGTGGCTAACACCTGTAATTCCAGAATTTTGGGAGGCTAAGGCAGGAGGACTGCTTGAGACCAGGAGACCAGGAGGTTGAGACAAGCCTGGAACAATATATAGTGAGATCCTGTCTCTACCAAAAATAAAAAATCAAAAGAGTAAAAAAAGCCAGGCGTGTTGGCATGTGCAGGACTACAAGTCCTTGCTACTCAGGAGGCTGAGGCAGGAGGATATCGCTTGAGCCCAGGAGTTTGAAGCTGCAGTGAGCTATGATCCTGCCACTGCATTCCAGCCTGGTCGCCAGAGCAAGACAATGTCTCTTAAACAAACAAAAACCCAGAAATTAAGACAAAGTGGTAAAAGAAAAAACAATGCACACTGAAAGCTTTCAAGTTCAGATTTGACTAGTCATCTATTCAAGTAGACAATATTAGAAGGACATAGTCCACTGTTTGTTAATATTTTGTATTTAGATACCTGCTTAATTCAATAAAGACTAGAAACTATGTATACATCTAACATATGTATGAGCAAAAAGTATTTGAGCCATGTGAAATAAGGGGCAAAAACAATCTTTGTTCCCTTTAAAAACTGACAAGCAAAATAGTTGTCTATGAAATCAATACAGATTTTCTTGTGAATACAAACACATGTTATGTATATATCATAATCAAGTAATCACCACCACCCAATTTGAAAATGTAATTACATAATTTAGGAAGAAACCATGTTTACTTTTTGGCATAGGATACAGATAAAGATTTTAGTATGTTCCTTTACTACATGAAATTTTTAATAAGAGAGACAAAGAGAAGACATTAAAAATAATTATGTTGATAAAGCTATTTTATTTAGCAAGAACTAAACTGTCAATGTTAAAGGTTGTCCTTACTTGGAAAGCTGTCATCAGGTTCTGATTGACAGATAACATCTGAATGCTGATTGGCTGTCAAATTTGCAGATTCTAAATCCCTGTAATTGAAAGAATACAATTTCAAATTGCATAAAACAAAGTCAACATAGTAAATTTAGCTGTATCCACAAAATCCAGAAATTCATTGGTATTGTATATAAAATTCTGTGTGTATAAACATTCTTCAGTAAAGGATCTGTTGCTTTCATCAAATTTTCCGAGGGTTCAAATTAAAAAGCTGAGTTTAGAAAGATACAAGTGAAACAGGGCAATGACGAAATAATACAAACAAAAATAAACTAGGAATTTAATGGATGGCATTCTGGGTCAGAACAATCTAACTCTAGATTCAAGAAGCTAAATACTATGTTGCTATATATGGCAATGATACTAAAATCAGTGAAACTGATGTAAAAGTAATAAAACAGAAGCTAATTTAAAGTCACACTGATTTCAATGAATTAAAATTTAGACAAAATTTATTTAAATTTACTGAACAGTATGTTTTCTCTTTGAAGATATGAAGACTTTTTAAATTTCTAGAATATTGACCAAAATGCTTCTGCACACAGTACTCGCTAGGAATACCTTGGGAAAAAGAGATCTAAATATATAGCAGGTTTAAGATACTATTTACTTTCTGGCACATGTAAAAGTTTTAAAAATGTTTTTAAAAGGTTTAAAAGAGAGTGATACACCAAAACATGTGTTACTTATTTAATCAGTGGCACTTCAGAAATATATTTTTTTCATGAAAGAATTAAATATTTTTGGAATCTGAGATATGTATCAAATTTTCTAAACTTTAGCTAAGGTCTAGTTTCCACTGTATGTTGCTGTACTTGCAGAGTGTGGTAAATGATAGAAAAGAAGCAAGAGTGTAAAAGCCAGATTCTAACAGTTGGAAAACTTCAACTATAACCTTGGCTCTGCTACTACTTAGCTATATGAGCCTGTAATCATTTGATTTCTTTCATTCGGCTCATCTGTTTAAAAACATGGCGAATGGCACAAAAGGCTAGGGAACCTATCAGAAACCCCAGGAACAATATTATCTTAGAAATCGGCTTAATCAATACCTTATTTATATTTTCTAAAAATTAAAAGCTTACTTTTTCAGTTGATCCACATCAGAGTTAGTTTCTGGCAAGACCCTGATTCCCCGACCATAACTGGTACCTCCATGAAGATGAAACTCTAAACTTAACATTGTCTGATTCTCTGAATTCATTGATTGAAGTTTGGTATGAAGGCTATAGATTCTAAGAAAGCTTCCAACCTAAAAACAGATAATTTGTTATTTGGAAAGCGAGGAAAATAAAACTTTAATAACCAATATGGGGCAATGAGGGCACTGACCAATCAGGAAATATACTAAAGTATCTGCAAAGTATGCTATACGAGTATGGCTGAGTAACAGCTGCATGGAAACTGTATCAAAACTAAATATATGGACATGTGCATGCCTAAGCATGTATGCACACACATACATATACACACACATTCAACTGTAAGAGATATTTTCATTTCAGACATATTAAAATGTGAAAAAAAACAGTGTCTTAGCATCAATAAAATACAATGGTTAAGAAACCCATTACCTAAATGGAATTCAAGCCCTCTATTTGACTAAAGTTTCTGAAAATGCTTTGCTTTAACCAGTTTAAGGCTTAATTAAATATGATCCCTAAGATACTGTCATTATGAGAATACTAAGAAGAAATTTTAAATGTGGTACTATCAAAAAATAATAAACATCTTCCATCTTACAAGTTCTATGGAAAAAAACTTTTGCATTTGTGCCTGCACCACCACAGTGTGAAACACTCTGTGAGTTCAAATATGAGTTATCAGAGTTTTGAAATAAATGTTCTATAGTTAATCTCAGATGTTTTGCTAAACTTAGTCTACAAATATCTTTAATTATAGACCACTGAGATTTTTCTTTTAATGGAGATGTCAAATGAGAGAGATGCAGAACGCTATTCAAATATATTCACACCTACCTAAAAGAAGCTATATAACCTAAATCACATTTATATTTATGAAGAAAGATTTAGAAGCAAAAGGAGTTACAAACAAGGAAATTTAATTCATTTGTATAAAAATAGCACTCCTGACTATTGGGTGACTACAGGGATACCACTTTTTTTGACCCCACAAGTTCAGGATTGAATAACAGACATCTTAAATAACAAAAAAAAAAAAGCAATATAGGTTAAATATTCTTTATCTGAAATACTTGAGACCAGAAGTGTTTCAGATTTCAGATGTTTACGGATTTTGGAATATCTGCATATACATAATGAGATATCTTAGGGATGAGACCCAAGTCTAAACATGAAATTCATTTATGTTTCACATATATGTCATACACATAACCTGAAGGTAATTTTCGATAACATTTTCAATTATTTTGTGCATGACACAAAGTTTTTGTACACTGAATAACTGGAAAGCAAAGGGGTCACTATCTTAGACTGGCACTCAAAAAGGTTTGCATTTAGAATTCTGGACTTTTAGATCATGGAGGCTCAATCCTATAAAGGGAAACATTAAAAAAAAAAAAAAAAAAAAAAAGATGAGCAGCAAATCAGGTTTCCAATTCTGCTTATTGTAGCTTCTCTTAATTTTATTTCCCCTCTTTGCTCTTTATTTCTGATGGAGGATATCAGCAAAGGAGGTAAGGAGAAAACCCACTCTCCCAGGTGCTACTCTTTCATTCCTAAGGATCTTTTTTCCCATCCAATCATGGGTTTTATGAGGAGCAGATAAGATACAAGCCTTTTCTTTGACCTCTTTCGCTGACATCTGTATCACAGCCAGGGAGTAGTATAAAGAAACTTAAAGAAGAAAAGCACAAAAAGAAAAAACTAATTTTCCTCATAGTCTTCAAAGTGAGATATTGGAAAAAACATAAAAATTTCTAGTTTTATCTCATTCTTTTTGACTTATTTTGTGATTCTTTTAAAATATGTGTGTGTATATATGTATATATAAATATATTAGTATAGCACATGTATGTATGATCTACAAAGGATTTGAAAGAAGGCCTAAACATATGGAGAAAGACATTCATATACAAAAAACTTTTGATACTACAAAAATGATAATTTCCTCCAAATTAAATATTAAATTCTATGCAATTCAATCAAAATTCCCAGGTTTCGTGGAATCTGAAAAGCTAATCCAAAAACATATACAAAAGAGACTAGTCAAATCAATTTTAAAGAATATGAGAGGGGGGCTTTACCCTATCAAAAAATACATAAAGAAAAAGGATAATAAACATAGGTGTACATACAAACCTACATATGGAAACATAGAGAGAGAGCTGGGGAGCAAAAAAATAAATAAATAAATAAGAGCAGGCAGGGGCTCAAAGGTTTGATGCGTAGAGTTTTATCTCCTAAAACTTAAAAGTGTCTGAAATAAATGTGGCAAAACATTTAAAAATAAGGTGAACACATGGGTGTTTATTATACTATCTTGTCTACTAGAGTATTTTTTAATATAACAAAACTTTGAGGCCAAGATACAAGTTATTCACATAAAGATAACTTGTTATTATCAAAAATTCCTTATGGAGGCAGCATTGTATTTTTTTAAAAGCTTGACTAAAAATACTACGAAATGTGCCAGATGCTCTATTATAAAAAACAAGTATTGGTTAATCTTGTCAGTATTAAGATTCCAAAAATACAAATGAAACATCAACCAAAAAATTATAAAAATATAGTTTAAAAAATGATGATAGATGTCTATTTAAATACAGAAACACTAAAAAAAAAAAAAAAAAAAAAAAAAGAAAAGTAAATATGGCTAGTAAGAAAAGACTATCCCTTTAGAAATAATCAACCGATTCCTCATAAACTGTCAAGAATTTCTCTTCAGGTTTATTATTTTTAATTCCCTGAATATGTCTCAAAATAGCCAATCAAATCACAGTTGTTGAACTACTGAAGGCTAAAACATAATTATGACCATGTATATTTTATAATTAACAATTGTCTCTGGTTAAGAGTAGGGATTTAGAAAGTAAAGCTTTAGTTTCTAGACAAAATATTTGAAATCTCAGTTTACGTGACTGGATCTGTGTAAAATCTTTAAGGGAATGACATAACAAAAAGTGAGATTCAGAAAATAGTTAAGGGCAATTCAGGCTCTAAAATGTATTGCTTGTAGATGTTGACTGTATTATATCCTATAATTGCATTATACTGTCCTCTTTATTAAAATAAAAACACATTTTTTCCTGCTCCTATACAACAAAAGTCTTTCACACTGGTTCCAGGTATTTTTATATAAAAATGTAATTTTAAACAGTTGTCTTGAAAGTACCAAGAAGAATTCATTTATATCAATGTCATGTGAGTGAAGAGTTCCTAAATCAAGAAGAAATGTTAGAGGTTGTCAGAAAACAAATAAATGTGATGTCAATGTGTATTAAATAAAAATCTAAAGTTATATTATGTACACAGAGAAAAATCATTTTCTTTTTTTTTTTTTTTTTTTTTTTTTTTTTTTTTAGACGGAGTCTCGCTCTGCCGCCCGGGCTGGAGTGCAGTGGCCGGATCTCAGCTCACTGCAAGCTCCGCCTCCCGGGTTCCCGCCATTCTCCTGCCTCAGCCTCCCGAGTAGCTGGGACTACAGGCGCCCGCCACTTCGCCCGGCTAGTTTTTTGTATTTTTTTTTTTAATAGAGACGGGGTTTCACCGTGTTAGCCAGGTCGATCTCCTGACCTCGTGATCCGCCCGTCTCGGCCTCCCAAAGTGCTGGGATTACAGGCTTGAGCCACCGCGCCCGGCCATCATTTTCATTTTTATACTGCATTGCAGACAAGTAATATAATGCCATGATATCTTTACAGAAAACACAGTGCCATATATTTTCTTAATTATGTGTGCTCATATCACCCTCTAGTGGGCAAAATAAAGCAGACCATAAAAAAGGAAAAAAGAATCTGGAAAAAAAATCCACAGCATTCACAGATTCATTCATTCAGCAGCAGCTCTTACTTACTTCATCCTCACTACGGGGAAAGCACTGTGATAGGTGCTGCTCAGGACTAAGACAAGAAAAAGCAGGAAAAGCAGAAACAGAAAGACCTATGTTGGAAGACCTATGTCTGGAAGCAGTATAGGGAAAGAGAAGAGAATTAAATGGCAAAGGAAGGTATGTAGAGTGTGGAACTAAGGTGAATCTAAAATGTAAATTCATTTTGTTTATGAAAGAACTATATGAAAAAACCTCCAGAACTGAACTTATCATTATATTTAATTTTGAAATAACCTAATCAATGTAGATAATATCTTTCAGGGAAATAACGTCAAAAATATATCCTCAACAGTCAGTGTTTTCTGATATGTCACAGAGGTATGTGCATGCATATATACACACTTACAGATGATAAAATACAGTCACTATTTTCCTGGATCCTAGATTTAATCTAATTTATTGATTTGAGTTGGGTAAACTTGTTTTGTTGTTGTTGTTGTTGTTGTTTATTTTTTCTGTAACCTAGAACAGTGTTGATGGTGAACTTATTTGTAATACAATGTAGAATGGATATATTTGCTACTCCATGGCCACTCATTTATAAAGGAAATTGGGCACTGAAATTCAGATCTTCACTCTTCTTTTAACTTCCTATTAGTAGACTAGAAGATATTTGTGATGTAGATCCCTTCCATTTAATGCTTTAAAGGATTAGCTCTGCAAAGAGACACTGTGGATTCAAACACTGGCTTCATCCAGATAGGGACAGGAGGTAGGGAAATTTTAGGTAGAAGAGGGCAGATCCCCAGCAAGGACCCTGCTCTCAAGCTGAAAAGCCTGATACCATGGCCCAAAGTGAGAACTTACATCCCTATTTTCCTGCTCAAATGTTGTCTTTTCCAAAACTACCCATGGCCCACCCCACCTGCCATCCTGTGCCCATAAAAACCCCAGGCTCAGCCAGCAGAGGGAAGAGAGGCAGCTGGCCATCAGAGACTATGGCTGGATGTCAGAGAGAAGCAGCCTGACTTCAGAGGGACAGCCTGATGGTGTAACCTGGGAGAAGAATCTGGCCCTAGAGGGCTAGACTTCAGGGTAAGACTACCTTCCTGCTCCATCCCCTTTTCACCTCCTCTTTCCACTGAGCCACTTTCATCAGTAATAAAATCCCCTGCATTTACCATCTTCAATTTATTCTTGAGACCTCATTCCTCCCGGATGCTAGACAAGAGCTCAGGTGCCGCAAGTGTGGTGCGAAAGGCAGTCACAGTTACCCTCCACTGAGTCGTTAACACGTAAGCTGTCCATGGACAGCAGAGCTAAAACAGTACTGTAACACTTCCTCTGCGGCTTCAGGGGTCACCAGCACCCTCTCAGATGCTGCTGTAGGGCCAGTACAGAGTTTGCTTCTGCCCGTGCCCAAAAGCCCTTGCCCTGGCTCCTGCACCTGCTCACCTGCATGCTCCCATTCCTGTGGTCTCAGTGAGTGGAACTCTCCCCTGCCAGCACTGAAGTGGCTGGCTAGTTCCAACACCCATGCACTCCAGTTCCCGCCCATGAAAGGGTAAGGGAAATACCCTGCTTCAATCCAACTAGCTGTGGAATCTTGAACCACTGATTCAACCTTTGAGTGCCTCATTTCACATTTGTAGAATGAGATGACTATCATCACCTATCTTATCAGAGAGTACCAAATGCATATGAAATGCCTAGCAAAGGTTACTCTTATTACTGTATTATTATTTATCATACCATTCTTTACTACAAAAAGTACTTTCAAATAAAAGATATAATAGAGAAAAAAAAATTCCTACAATTTTTAATAGTTAAGTACTGCCATATCTAAACTGTGCACCTTAATGTATTTCAAAAGAAAGCATGCAAATTCTATACATTACACACTATACACACATACCCAATTTATAATATACATTAGAGGTAATTGAACAATTTGTTAAACTCATGAACAAAAAGTTATCAGCTACATTCTATCAAACCAGTTTATCAAGCTTAGTCTTTAAGTTAGCAATATTTTATATAGCATTTGTCATTCTAAAGCAGTATTATCTCACATGACAAAATTTTTCTGTACTATTTTCACAGTAAAATTATGTATACCTTTAAGATATTTAAGAAAGATTATTTTTAAAATTCCTCTAACGCATTAAATTTATCTTTTAATAATTTATTGTAACATACATTTTACAACTTAAAAATCAAAGAAATAAATATAATTTCTAGACTGTACCACCTATACATGTAACCATATATAAAAAATTTACATAAGTAAACATCACTATAATTTATAAAAACATAAAATATTTTCCTACTCAACATCACCTTCAGAGATCTTGCCACATGAACATGGTTATCGTAGACTAAAATATCTATTGTCAGATTTTGTAGCCGATGGATGTGACTTAAATCACCTTCAAGAACAAGGTCTTGTATTAAGACTCTCCAAGATGGAAATGGTGTCCTGGTGCCATCCCATACCTGCCATAAGAGAGTAGAGTAGTTTTATCATCCTTTAGAAAAAATGCTTGTGCTAAAAAGTTTTTTCCTGGTAATAGTACTTAAAAGTAATTAAACGTATGCCTCTGAATATTGGCACTATTTTAAATATGACATTATTTGCTGATTGTAAAAGAACTACATATGAAATATGGGTAATGTGGAAAATGTAGAAGAATGTAAAGAAGAAAAAGAGTCACACTGCCATAAGCCCAGACTAAATATTCCTGAGTCAAGTGTTTTTATACAATAAAAACAAACCAAAATGGTCTTGAAAAACACTCATATGTATTAAAACATTTTTGCAAATACAACTAGTAAAATTACGAATGTTCTAAAAATTATAAAAATAATACATTTCTTTGACATTAATCAAATTATTTCTATGAGATTCAGTCTCATTCTTAAATTAGTTGTAAAGCATTATTCTGATGTTTCCATACAAAGAAGTAAATGTTGTAAATTTGAATAATTTCCTTTATATGATGATTTTCTGGTTCACATTATGCTTTTTGTTCTCCAAATCATATTACAGATGAGACACACAAACTACCTACCAGCTCTGGCTATAAATGACGCCTGGTTATTTATTAAAAAAAAAAAAACAAAAAAAAACAAAAACAAAACATAAAACAAAACACAAAAGATAAGGCTGCACCAATACTGTAGATATTAAAACAAATAGAATATATACACTTAGAGAAAATTCAATTTGAGAATACTGCTCAGAAAAATAATTTATATAATATTAACAGAATAGAGAAAAATGTAGAATGATGCCAGATCAACAAATTTATTGAATTATATTTAATGCAAATGATTGGTGTAGCATGGCTACTGAAAAATTAAAATGAATGCACTGTGGTTAGTAAAAAAGCTACCAACATTAATATTGTGCCCAGGTTGAGATGGAAAATGATTATACTATTTCGTATGTAACCAGACATTATTTCGAGTAATGTCTAGCTCCTCTGTTTTTAAAAAATACAATTTAAAAATTATTTCTGATACGTAAGAAAATCAATGTATGGAAAAAAAATCACTCATAATTCTATTTCCCAGAGACGAAAACAGTAAAATGTTGCTTTATAGGCCTTCCAATATATTTTTCTATGTACATATACATTTTTAGTGTGTAAATGAAACTACAGTATCACTAAATAGACTATCATGAAATTCTATCTCAACAAGTACATGTCTATAATATCATTTTATGGTTACAAAGTATTTTATGGTGACATTTACAATGTTATTTTATGGTCATCCTACATAAATAGTGTACACAATTTTCTATTGTTAGTATTGGGGCTTTTTCTAATTTTTCTACTGTATTCCCATTTTTTATACTGTAAGAAAGATAAATATATCCTTTTAAGTGTACCTTTAAAAATATTTTAAATTATTTCCTTAAGATAATGAAAATAAAATTGCTGAGTTGAACGGTACAAGAAGACTTTTGAGGTTTACTTTTAAATTGTCATAAGAAAGGCTTTTACTAATTCTTTTCTTTTTTTAAATTATACTTTAAGTTTTGGGATACATGTGCAGAATGTGCAGGTTTGTTACATAGGTATACACGTGCCATAAGGGCTTGCTGCACCCATCAACCCATCATCTACATTAGGTATTTCTCCTAATGCTATCTCTTCCCTAGCCCCCTAACCCCCAACAGGCCCTGGTGTGTGATGTTCCCCTCCCTGTCTCCATGTGTTCTCATTGTTCAACTCCCAGTTATGAGTGAGAACATGCGGTGTTTGGTTTTCCATTTTTGTGTTAGTTGGCTGAGAATGATGGTTTCTAGCTTCATCCATGTCCCTGCAAAGGATGCGAACTGATCCTTTTTTTGGCTGCATAGTATTTCATGGTGTATATGTGACACATTTTCTTAATCCAGTCTATCATTCATGGGCATTTGGGTTGGTTCCAAGTCTTTGCTATTGTGAATAGTGCTGCAATAAACATACAATGTGCATGTGTCTTTATAGCAGAATGATTTATAATCATTTGGGTATATACCCAGTAATGGGATTGCACTGTCAAATGGTATTTCTGGTTCTAGATCCTTGAGGAACTACCACACTATCTTCCACAATGGTTGAACTAATTTACACTCCCACCAACAGTGTAAAAGTGTTCCCATTTCTCCACATCCTCTCCAGCACCTGTTCTTTCCTGACTTTTTAATGATTGCCATTCTAACTGGTGTGAGGTGGTATCTCATTGTGATTCTGATTTGCATTTCTGTAATGACCAGTGATTATGAACTTTTTTTCATATGTCTGTTAGCCGCACAAAGGTCTTCTTTTGAGGAGCGTCTGTTCGTATTCTTCGCCCACATTTTAATGGAGTTGTTTTTTTCTTGTAAATTAGTTTAAGTTCCTTGTAGATTCTGGATATTAGCCCTTTGAAAGATGGACAGATTGCAAAAATGTTCTCCCATTCTGTAGGTTGCCTGTTCACTCTGATGATAGTTTCTTTTGCTGTGCAGAAGCTCTTTAACTTAACTAGATCCATTTGTCAATTTTGGCTTTTGTTGTCATTGCTTTTGGTGTTTTAGTCATGAAGTATTTGCCCATGCCTATGTCCTGAATGTATTGCCTAGGTTTTCTTCTAGGGTTTTTATGGTTTTAGGGCTTATGTTTAAGTCTTTAACCCACTGTGAGTTAATTTTTGTATAAGGTGTAAGGAAGGGGTCCAGTTTCAGTTTTCTGCATATGGCTAACCAGTTTTCCCAACACCACTTTATTAAATAGGGAATCCTTTCCCCATTGCTTGTTTTTGTCAGGTTTGTCAAAGATCAGATGATTGCAGATGTGTGGCATTATTTCTGAGGCCTCTGTTGTGTTCCATTGGTCTATATATCTGTTTTGGTAGTAGTACAATGCTTTTTTGGTTACTGTAGCCTTGTAGTATAGGTTGAAGCCAGGCAGCGTGATGCCTCTAGCTTTATTCTTTTTGCTTAGGATTGTCTTGGGTATATGGGCTCTTGGGCTCTTTATTGACCTTTCAGTGTTATATTTTAAACTAACACTTACATGACAGTTGTTTTCACTTGTCCAAAAAGGTTATCTATTACAATGGGATGCAGGTATATGTTTTGTTTCTGTAGAGAGAAAATGTAGACTCAACTATTTCAGCTAAAATTTGGCACATTTTATCTTAGAATTTAAGAATTTTCTAAAAACATAGTCAAAAGATAGAATATTCCTCACTGCATAGTAGTAGAGTCCTTGTCATAGTAAGTGTTCAGTTGTTAGCAAATGCTCATTTGTTAAGAACGTCACATTTGCCAGAGAGTATGACTGGCTGACCTAAGATTCATTCTAACTTTGATTTTATATTACTTTTGTTTCAGCTTTATCATATTTGACTTATTTAACTTTCTGTATGGCATATATTTACAACTTTCTCATAGTATTCCATGTGTATATGAATGTGCTATTTTCAACTGCTAGAACTTTATATTTTATTCAATGATTGCTAACTTCTCTGTTCTTTAATATGGGCAAGGTATAAATGATAATGCTAAACCCCAAGACTTGTCCAAGTGCCACTACACTCCATTTTCTGCCCTATTATTCCAAAGAGAGTATCGAGAAATAACCATAGGAGCAGGCCTGAAGAGGCATTTGTTTAAATGTATCCTCCATAGGATGTCCAGGCAAGAAAAACAGACATTCACCTTCTCCAGAAGTTATTCTCTAAACTGGGATAGGTGTAAACAGAGATTTGATGGGTCTTAAGTTACTTTTTTATCTTGCTGATTTAAGAGCAAAACACAGTAATATAAAATGCTTCAAAACTATCCGTGGTATGACTATGAAGTAGGCAGTGAAAGATATAAGAAGAGAACCCAACATCAAGGGGACAAAAAAGTAAATAAATGAGAGGGAAGGTGACCTTGACAGGGAAACAGAAATATTCATGTATGGGACTACAAACTATGAAATAATAGAAAACAAGTCTACATATTATTACTACTAAAATAAAAAAATGCATAAGTCATACTATATTTAACATGTAGATCTGATAACACTAGAAGGAAAGTGTAAAACAGGAAGGAAAGAAAAATTTTAGAGAGGTACAAGAGTAGAGCTGCATGAATATCAAAGCTCATCAAAAATAGTTAAAATGTAAGTTCCTAATATAATACACTGTATGCATATTTGTCTCATCAGAAAGCTGAAACATAAGCTCTTTACAGACATATAAGTGTTGCTAACTTATAATTTCCAGTATTAAAAAATATGTACCTTTAGAAGAAATGATGCTCCATCCACTTCTGCTTTGCCCAAGAGCTGACAAGTCAGGTCAAAATACTGCATTGGCTGCACATCACACAATTTTAGTAATGTCCAAGACGGTGACATATGAGTAGATGCCCAAACACGTAAAGTTTCTACCATTTTGTGGTCCTCAGTAGTGAAGTTAAAATACTTGCTTGAAGTGCGAGGTATGATAGGGGCTCCCAAAGTTCCCTCAAACGTCAAAGATGCAAAGCCAGAGCTGGTGATACCCTGAGTCTCCTTTTTATATACTTGAATCTAAGAAAGTAGGGCAAAGAAGAAAAGAGATACAAATAAAATAGCTTACTGATGCAGAATCTATGAACTGAAGAAATTGGAAAGATTATCAATTTTGCCAGCATAATTAAGAGAGGGCATTTTTTAAAAACTATTTTTATTTAATTAGCATATGAAATTCTACTCTCACGTGCTGGTGCTACACTAAGATACATAAGTATCATGGACACTGTGAACCTCCATGCAAAATTCACTTACATTTTTTAAAGAGCTAGGTGGTGGTCTCCCTAATCCTATCAAGCTTGCAGTTTTACAATTTATTAGTTTTTTTTATTAAGGTGTAATTTATACAAGGAAAAAGGATCATAAATGACAGTGACTTATGAATATTACAGAAAAGACTAGAACACTTGAAATATGAGAATATAAAGTGAATAAAATGAAGCTCAGGCTAGGGTTTAATCAGAGTGACTGAGAGCACTGAGATATGCCATAAGCTCTTTTGCTTTCTGAATTTGGGGGCTGTTATCAGAGGCACACACATTTATATTGCTATATCTTCATGAAGAGACCCCTTTGTCTTTATGAAAAGCTCCTTCCAAGACTCTCTAATAGTAATATAGTTATTTCATTTCCCTTATGTTTAGTTAGTACATTTTTTTTTTACAGCTTTAGTTCTAACTTGTTTAGGTCTTCATATTTAAAGTGCACTTCTTGTAGGTAGCATATATTTGGTTCCTGATTTTTTGGTTCAGTCAATCTTTCCCTTGCAAATGGAAATTAGTCCATTCACAGAAAGGCAGTTATTAACATGGCCATATTTGAGTCTACTATCTTGTTTTCCTTTTTTTCCACGCTTCTTGCTTTTTAGCTTCTTTGTTTTTTTAAAACTTTTTTTTTTCTATTGTTCCTTTCTTGTTTTCCTTTTGGAATTCTTATTAGTGCTCCACTTCCTTCTTCTTGGCTATGAATAAATCTTTAACTTTTCAACGTCTACATGGAAATCAATATTGTTCTACTATGTACTTTCTACTTTCCATTTCATACTTGCTACTTCCTATTTCATGCATTCTACTTCACAAATATAACTTTTCACTGGTAGAATTCCATTCACTCATCCCACCCATCCTTTGTGTTACTGTTGTAGTATTTTTTCTACATATTTTATAAACTCCACCATGTAATATTACCAGTTTTGCTTTAAATAGGCATTTATCTTGTAATTAAATTCTGGAAAGAAATAAAAACATTCTGTTTACATATTTACTATTTTTTTCCATCATTTCTTGTATTTTTGTCACTTCTTAACTATTCACTTCTAGTTGCTAGCATTCCTCTTTGGCCTGAATATCATTCTTTTGCATTAATGCTATGCAGATATGCTGGCCATGGACTATCTCATTTTTCCTTTATATAAAATGTTTATTTCACTCTCATTCCTGAAGAATGTATTTGATGGATACAAAATTCTGTGTGAACAAATTTTTTTCTATCACCATGTACAAATTATTTCTTTGTTCTCTGGGTGTCATTGTCTCTGGTAAAAAGTGAAAGACGACTGGTATCATTGTTCTCCAACAACGTATCATTTATTCTCCAGTTGATTTCAAGATTTTTCTCTTTTTCAATGGTATCACTATCTTTTGTTTGGATGTGCTTTTCTTTGTGCATACCCTGCATAAAGTACATTTAAGTCTTTGTTTTTCCTCAAATTTGGGGAAATTCTGGTCCTTATTTCCATAAATATTTTATTTCCTTTCACCCGCTCTCCTCTTGCATCCTAAATTACATGTAACATTTGATATTGTTCCATAGGTCCTTACAGTCTATTAATTTTTATTTAATCCTTGTTCTTCAGATTAGGTAGTTTCTAATGACTTGTCATCAATTTAACTTATATCTGATCTTAGCCCATCCAGTAGATTTTTCTTTTCATTTGTTCTTTTCAGTTCCTGAATTTCTATTTTTTTAAGTTTCCACTTCTCTGCTGAAATTTATCTTTTCACATTCATTTAACATCTTCCTCTAATTCACTGAATGTATTTTTGCTTAATTTCTTTTTTAAAATTATTTTATTTATTTATTTATTTATTTATTTATTTATTTTTGAGAAGGGTCTCGTTCTGTCACTCAGGTTGGAATGCAGTGGTGTAATAATATTTCACTGCAGCCACGACCTCCCGGGCTCAAGGGATCTTCCCACCTCCACTTAATTCTTTGAAAGTCTGTATAATCTGTGCTTTAAAGTTTTTGTTTAATAAAGACAACATTTGGGCTACCATGGAGTTGATTTGGAATGTCTATGCTTTCTTTTTTCTTGACTAGGGGTAACACTTTCTTGTTTTCATGTCTAGTATATCTTTTTTCTTTACTAGACATCATAGATGCTATACTGTAAAGACTCTGATAATGTTGGCTTCTTCTGACAAACACTGATTTTTGTTCTCACTGGCCACTGAGTTGTTGTCTGGTCATCTTAAACTCATGAATGCTTGTTTTTATGCTTTGTTAGGGTGATCTGTGGAAAGCCCATGATGTTTCCCAAAGTCTTCTACATTGATGGGACTCATCCTCCAAACTCTCTGCGAAGTCTTCTCCGTAGAACTCGTTTTAGGCTTTGACAAAACATGTGTATAACAGGCCTTACTATAAGATGTGATCCTTTGTGAGGTGAGCTACTTTAGGGGGGTGAAAACTTTATATTGCCTCAGCTGAATTTCCAAGGTGTTAAATAGTTATTAATAAGTTAATTTCCAAGGTGTTAAATAGTTATTATTTGTCCCTATCTTGGACTTCCAGCACCCCATTACTAGACCTCTAGTATCTGCTTCATGTTCAACCACAATGTTCAACCACAGTTCAAACACACAGCAGCTTTTGTAATCCTTAAGTAGTTCTACCCCACCCTGTGCAGCCTGGTTTTCAACCAAATATTCAAGTCCACCCCAACCCTGATGGACTTTTAGACATCCCCTTCTGTATAGCTCTTTCCTCTCTGGTTTCTTGTTGTGAAAATTCCAGTTTTCAGCTGCCTTGAACTTTGACTTCAGCTATATCAGGACCACAGCTTGAACTTCAGCTTACTGTGCAGTGGTTGAGAAAATGTCTGTAGGCAGGGATGTGGTCATCATGGGGCTCACTTTAAAAGTTTCTCTTCACTCTCTGATCATAGCTACCCATTGTCCGATGCCTAAAAAACAGTTGCCACATACGTTTTATGGGTCTTCGTGGCAGCAGGGTTAGTCCAGTACCAGTTAATTTCTCACAATGAGGAAGTTCACTCTGCAGATTCTAACTATACTTGCCTACAACTGATCTATTACCTAACTTTACACTTTTAAATGGATTCTACTTGATGTATATGCTGCTTCTCTTTTATACTCCAATGTCTGATTGACGCTTGGTTCTGTGATCATCATTGTTATTACCAATTCCATGCTCACTAGTGTATACTGTTTACCAAAGCTTGCCTCTGCTGATTATCATAGTAAAACAGAACCAACTTCCAGCTTAGGTGTGTTGGTAGCGTTCACATATCATTTATGAGCAGATCCTCTTTGCTTGAGATTCAAAATATACCTTAATTAGTCTACTTCTATTTCCACCACCACTGTAGTCTAAGGCATCCTCATTTCATGTCTGTAAACTGAAATAGTCTTCTAAAGAATATCTTTGCCTTCATGCTTGTTCTTCAACAACCCATCTGTTATCCACGTGTTACTGAGTGATTTTTTTTCAAAATTTTAACCAATCATTTCATGTGCACATTTAAAACCCTCTAATGACTTCTCATTATACCTAGAGTAAAATCTAAACAACTTACCTACCACAATTTCATCTCGTAACACCTCCCCCATAGCTGACTAGGATCCATGCTAGTCTTCTTTCTGTTTCTCCAATACCACACTCATTCCTATTATAGGGCCTTGGCACCTATAGTGTCATCTGGTGGAAAACGTTTTCCCTCAAATCTCAGTAGGACTTCTCATTATCATCATTTGGGTCTCAATTCTTATGTCTCCTCATTAGAAAGGCCTTTCGTGATTTTGCCTTATTTTATTTATTTATTATTTATTATTTTTGAGATGGAGTCTCGCTCTGTCGGCCAGGCTGGAGTGTAGTGGTGCGATCTCAGCTCACTGCAACCTCCACCTCCCGGGTTCAAGCAATTCTCCTACCTCAGCCTCCCGAGTAGCTGTGACTACAAGCACCCACCACCACACCCGGCTAATATTTGTATTTTTAGTAGAGACATCGTTTCACCATACTGGCCAGGCTGGTCTCGAACTCCTGATCTTGCAATCCTCCTGCCTAGACCTCCCAAAGTGCTGGGATTACAGGTGTGAGCCACTGTGCCCGGTTGCTTTATTTTCTTTATAGCAACTATCACTACTTGAAATTACTTTGATTTATATGCTTTACTTTTATATTGTCTGCTTCTTTGCATTAAAACAGAAGCTTATACAAAAAAAAAAAAATTTTTGCTGGAAAAAAGAAGAGTAGATCTTGACTCTTGTTTTATGTATATTTTTGCTATGAACTATCATCTTCAAATTGCAATAAGAAAAACAAGAAAAAATAAATTCTGGCTGTTTTATGTATATTTTCGCTATGAATTATGATCCTCAAACTGCAATAAGAAAAACAAGAAAAAATAAATTCTGATATCTAAAACAGATGTCTGTACTTAGAATGACCTTGCTCAACTAAAGAAAACAGGGCTATTCAAACAAAGCTAGCGAACTGTCAACATAAAGAGTGTAAGGAAGTGCTAGTAGCCCTAAATATGAACATTTCATGAAAACAGAGAAACAACTTTATCAAAAAATATAGTAACCCTAAATCTATACAGCAGCCTCAAAATATATAAAACATAAAATTAAATAAGAAGGCTTAAACCTCATTAACATTGCTTTAAATTATTAAGCAAAATCGATAGAACTAAAAGAAACAGGCAAATCCTCTATCACAGTAGTCTTTAAAACACAGTTTTCAATAGCTGATAAAATAAGTAGATAAGAAATAAAAAATGATATTGACCATATGGTAGAACATAAAGTAAGCATTCACAAATTTCAAAATACTAAACATTTCGGGGCTCACTTTAAAAGTTTCTCTTCACTCTCTGATCATAGCTACCCATTGTCCGATGCCTAAAAAACAGTTGCCACATACGTTTTATGGGTCTTCGTGGCAGCAGGGTTAGTCCAGTACCAGTTAATTTCTCACAATGAGGAAGTTCACTCTGCAGATTCTAACTATACTTGCCTACAACTGATCTATTACCTAACTTTACACTTTTAAATGGATTCTACTTGATGTATATGCTGCTTCTCTTTTATACTCCAATGTCTGATTGACGCTTGGTTCTGTGATCATCATTGTTATTACCAATTCCATGCTCACTAGTGTATACTGTTTACCAAAGCTTGCCTCTGCTGATTATCATAGTAAAACAGAACCAACTTCCAGCTTAGGTGTGTTGGTAGCGTTCATATATCATTTATGAGCAGATCCTCTTTGCTTGAGATTCAAAATATACCTTAATTAGTCTACTTCTATTTCCACCACCACTGTAGTCTAAGGCATCCTCATTTCATGTCTGTAAACTGAAATAGTCTTCTAAAGAATATCTTTGCCTTCATGCTTGTTCTTCAACAACCCATCTGTTATCCACGTGTTACTGAGTGATTTTTTTTCAAAATTTTAACCAATCATTTCATGTGCACATTTAAAACCCTCTAATGACTTCTCATTATACCTAGAGTAAAATCTAAACAACTTACCTACCACAATTTCATCTCGTAACACCTCCCCCATAGCTGACTAGGATCCATGCTAGTCTTCTTTCTGTTTCTCCAATACCACACTCATTCCTATTATAGGGCCTTGGCACTTATAGTGTCATCTGGTGGAAAACGTTTTCCCTCAAATCTCAGTAGGACTTCTCATTATCATCATTTGGGTCTCAATTCTTATGTCTCCTCATTAGAAAGGCCTTTCGTGATTTTGCCTTATTTTATTTATTTATTTATTTATTTATTTATTTATTTATTTATTATTTTTGAGATGGAGTCTCGCTCTGTCGGCCAGGCTGGAGTGTAGTGGTGCGATCTCAGCTCACTGCAACCTCCACCTCCCGGGTTCAAGCAATTCTCCTACCTCAGCCTCCCGAGTAGCTGTGACTACAAGCACCCACCACCACACCCGGCTAATATTTGTATTTTTAGTAGAGACATCGTTTCACCATACTGGCCAGGCTGGTCTCGAACTCCTGATCTTGCAATCCTCCTGCCTAGACCTCCCAAAGTGCTGGGATTACAGGTGTGAGCCACTGTGCCCGGTTGCTTTATTTTCTTTATAGCAACTATCACTACTTGAAATTACTTTGATTTATATGCTTTACTTTTATATTGTCTGCTTCTTTGCATTAAAACAGAAGCTTATACAAAAAAAAAAAAATTTTTGCTGGAAAAAAAGAAGAGTAGATCTTGACTCTTGTTTTATGTATATTTTTGCTATGAACTATCATCTTCAAATTGCAATAAGAAAAACAAGAAAAAATAAATTCTGGCTGTTTTATGTATATTTTCGCTATGAATTATGATCCTCAAACTGCAATAAGAAAAACAAGAAAAAATAAATTCTGATATCTAAAACAGATGTCTGTACTTAGAATGACCTTGCTCAACTAAAGAAAACAGGGCTATTCAAACAAAGCTAGCGAACTGTCAACATAAAGAGTGTAAGGAAGTGCTAGTAGCCCTAAATATGAACATTTCATGAAAACAGAGAAACAACTTTATCAAAAAATATAGTAACCCTAAATCTATACAGCAGCCTCAAAATATATAAAACATAAAATTAAATAAGAAGGCTTAAACCTCATTAACATTGCTTTAAATTATTAAGCAAAATCGATAGAACTAAAAGAAACAGGCAAATCCTCTATCACAGTAGTCTTTAAAACACAGTTTTCAATAGCTGATAAAATAAGTAGATAAGAAATAAAAAATGATATTGACCATATGGTAGAACATAAAGTAAGCATTCACAAATTTCAAAATACTAAACATTTCAGAGTACGTTTCCTGACCACAATAAACAATAGTAAAAGAAGGTAACTATTAAATGATTTAAATAAATATAAAAAACAAACAATAATCCTATGGAATTGGATTGAATATAACTCTCTATATATATTATTTGGATTATTTGAATATAATTCAAATATAAATTCAATATATAAATATATGTTCAATATAACTCAATATATTCAATAATAATTCAATATATACTCGAGTCAATATTTGAATTTTCATATTGATTTCCTCTCTGACTTATGGATTATTTACAAATTATTTATAAACCCATAGATCAGAGATGAAATCAATGATCAATATAAAAATTCAATTATATATTCAACTGAATGGTAATGAAGTTATGACAAATTAAAACCTGCTGGATACAACTAAGGCAGTACTTAAAAAATTTAGTCATAAATGAATATATTACAAAAGAGATGGCTAAATTATTATAGTAGTAAAGTTAATTTTCTACAGTGATAATACTGCATCTTTATATTCATTCACATTTCTCTAGACTGTGAATGGAGCCATGTATGGTCTGTAAGTGTTTGTGTATATAAATTGTTGAAAATCTCCAAAAAATTTTCCAAAATACTTGGTGAAAAAAGTCTGCATGTAAGTGTACCCATGTAGTTCAAACCTGTGTTGTTCAAGGGGTAACTATATGCTGTTAGAGGTCATGAGATTCTTTACTCCTGTAGCGGGAGACACAATAATGACCTCTCTGGATGGGGATATGAGGGAAGTTTCTAGAGTGTTAGCTATATGAGTATAGTTATATTGTGAATGATGAAATGTTTATCTATTTGCTATTAAATAGTAACTTCCATAAACAATAACAACAACTAAATATGTTTATGAAGGAAGCATCCATTCTTTGAATACAGTATATAGGAAACAATACTTTGAAAAGTAAGCAATTTTTTGACGTTTAAATAGTATGTATCGCATGGCTATGATAATATTTCTTTTTTTCTTTTTCTTTTTGAGTCGGAGTTTTGCTCTTGTTGCCCAGGCTGGAATGCAATAGCACAATCTTGGCTTGCCACAACCTCCGCCCTCCGGGTTCAAGTGATTCTCCTGCCTCAGCCTCCTGAATAGCTGGGATTACAAGCATGTAGCACCACGCCCGGCTAATTTTGCATTTTTAGTAGACACAAGGTTTCTCTATGTTGGTCAGGCTGGTCTCGAACTCCTGACCGCAGGTGATCCGCCAGTGTCAACCTCCCAAAGTGCTGGGATTACAGGCGTGAGCCACCACGCCCAGCGATGATAATATTTCTATTTATTTTTATCTTTACACAAATATTCTCCATTATCCTCCTATTCTCAAGGAAACAGCATTAATAGGTCATAAGAAGTGCCTAAGAGTAGAACACAGCTGAACGCTGTCCTCATTTGTGAGCATCAGACTGACCATGAAGGACAGAATTAAACTGAAGCCTTAGAAGAAAAAGACAACCAAGATGATGAAGAGGTTACATGGAAACCCATGTAACAAAGGAAAACATGAAGAAACTGAAATATTTAAAATCTAAGGGACTGAAAATATACAAAGTATTTAAAAGCTGTCCAAAGCATCATGCAGTAATTTCCAAAGAAAAATTCCAAAAGTTCATTGAACTAAAAAGCTCAATTAAATAAATATTATAGCAATAAGGAAAATAATTTTGAGAAAATAATAATCCTTTGCATTTGTAAGTTCTAAAATTTTTGTTTCTTAAAAATTGTGCTATTTAATAACTCTACCCTTATATTAAAGGCTTTCTTACATTTAGGTATTTAACTACAGGCATACTTTTAAAAGTACCTGTTCATATCTTATTTCTTATAAATGAAAACCAACTTAATTTGATTTTATACTTAGTATCTCAATGTTTTCATTGAACATGAATTAATACAAGAAACAGGAAAGAATAATATAATCTCCTAATCTTTGTATACTTTTTTTCTTGTTGACCTAAAGTTGTTTTTTAAAATATTAAAACACAAATGTTCTTTATCAAACTCTACAGATAAAACTTCTACAGCATTAGTCTATATTTAGAAACAGAAGACAGAATGGAACTAGTCTTAATCAGGGCATGTAATACATTTCTGGGGAACGAAGGCAAGTGGTTTGTTCAAATGAAGATGTTTCTTACTGTAAATTATTTGAAGTCTGATAATATTTACACTACTTCTTATCTCGTGAAAAGCTTGCTGTCATGTTCTAACAAAGCAACCACATAATTAGTGCTAACTAGTTTCAGTGAATACAGAGTTCTCTTCAAATAAAGTTCTAGATAGTATGAATTATACCTTCAGCCTGTGAAAGCGAACAATATCTCCATTTTTATAAATTATTGGAAGGGCTTCATAGTTTCCACTAAAGAGCAGGCAAGTTAATTTTACATTTGTCTGGTCCACAATTGTTACAACTGAGCAATAATCTGGAAAACACAAAAATATTTTACCTGACTTTCAATATTTTAAAGCATTAGATAAAATAAGAATATGCTTACTTCAAAACACCAAACTTTATTCTTCTTTTTAATTAAGCCTTCTAAGAGTTAAAAAACAGACATTTTCTTAGCTTTCAATACACACTGCAGAATTATTTTGCAGAAGTGTTCTATAAATATTACTTTTAGGAAGTTTAGTAAAACAAAAATAAAAATCTAATTCAGTATAAATTGTCTGGAGAGAAAATAACCTTTTTTATTGCTTCAAGGTTTACAAATCATGAAACATAAACGTAGTCAAATAAGAAAAAAGCAATTTATAAAATAAACATAACTAAATTTAGAATGAAAACAAAGGCTAAGCTATTTATAGCAGATATGAAGGTTGTACCCATACTGCATAAAGAACTTATAAAAATCAGGATGATACAGTATATATGTCATACAAATGAATAAACAATTCATAGAAAACGTCATAACAAAAAATTCAAAAGAGAAAATGGCAATTCTTGCTGGTCACCTATAAAAAATTACACATTATAACAAAAGAGAGGTATTTTATAAAATTTAAACTGGCAGAAAAATTTAATATTCGGGTTGCTGTAAAATGGTAACTTTAAACATTGGTGGTAGTAAAAATTGTCTGCTGGTGGTAGTAAAAACTGCCTTTAATTTTTTTTTTTTTAATTAACACATAAAAGATTGTATGTATTTATGGTGTGCTATACATGGTTTTGAAGTACACATACATTGTGAAATCATCAAATCTAGCTAATGAAAATACACATTACCTCACATAGTTATTTTTGCAGTGAGAACACTTTACATCCATTTTCTTAGCATTTTTCAAGAATACAACATATTTTTCACTACAGTCACTGTTATACAATAGAACCCCTGAACTTATTCTTGCTAACCAAAATAGTGTATCCTTTGACCAACATCTCCCCAAAACCTTCCCATAGCCACACAGGGCCCTGGCAACAACCATTCTACTCTCTACTTCTATGAGATCAATTTTTTAAGATTCTGTACCTGGCTTATTTTACTTAAGAATGTCCTCCAGGTTCATCCATGTTGTTGTAAATGACAGAATTTCCTTCTTATGTCTAAATAGTATTCCACTGTGTATATAGACCATATTTTCTTTATTCATCCATTAATGGACGCTTAGGTTTATTGTATGCCTAATGTGAAGAAGCCTGCAATAAACATGGGAGTGCGGATGTCTCTTCAACATATTGATTATTTCCTTTTGATATACATAGTAGTGATCCCTATCTGAAGTGTCACCTTCCACAGTTTCAGTTACCTGCAGTCAACCATGATCTACAAATATTTAATGGAAAATTCCAGAAATAAACAACATGAATCATCCCTTCATGCAGGGTATCCACACTGTGCATGCTCCCTGCCTGTTAAGTCACTTAGTAGCTGTCTCTGCTATCATATCAACTGTTGAGGTATCACAGTGCTTGTGATCATGCAACCCTTATTTTACTTAATGGCCCCAAAGTGCTAAGACAAAGTGGTAAGTGCTTAGTTAAACTTTATTATAGGTATGTATATTTAGGAAAAAACAGTGTATACAGAGTTCAGTACCATCCATGGTTTTGGGCAGCTGCTAGGGGTCTTGGAGCATATCCCCTTTGGACAAAGGAAAAGTACTGTACCCAGTAGTGAGATTGTGGGATCATATGGCAGTTCTAATTTTTGGAAGAATATTTGTATGTTTTCCACAATACCTGTGCTAATTTACATTGCTACCTACAATGCGCAAAGGTTATCTCTTCTTCACACCCTTGCGATACTAGTCTTCTTTGTGATAACAGCTATTGTAATAGGTGAGAAGTGATATCTTGCTGTGGTTTTATTTTAATGATTAGTGATGTTGAACATCTTTTCGCATACTTGTCTGCCATTTGTATGTTATTTTTAAAGAAATGTCTATTCAGGTCCTTTGCCCATGTTTAAATTGGGTTGTTTTCTAATCATCTAGTTGAGTTCCTCATATACTTTAGATATTAACCCATTATCAGATACACAGTTTGCAAATATTTTCTCCCATTCTTTACTCTGTTAATGCTGGTTGTGCAGGTTTTTAAGCTTGATACAATCCCATTTATCTATTCTTGCTTTCATTGTCTGAGCTTTTGAGGTCCTTTCCAAAGAATTTTTGGTGAGCTCAATCTCATGGAGCTTTTCCCCTATGTTTTCTTCTAGTAGGTTCATAGAACTACATTGAACAGAAGTGGCAAGAGTGGGCATCTTTGTCTTGTTACAGATCTTAGAGGAAAAGATTTCAACTTTTTCTGCATTTATTAAAATGATCACATAATTTTTGTGCTCCATTCTGCTAATAAACATTTTGATTTGCGTGTGTGGAACCACTCTTGCATACCTGGAATAAATCCTACTTGATCATGGCAAATAGTCTCTTTAATGTGCTATTGAATTTGGTTTGCTAGTATTCTGTTGAGGATTTTTGCATCTATATTGGCCTGCAGATTTTTTGCTGTTAGTTTTTATTGTCTTTGTGTCTTCAGTATCAGAGTAACGCTGGCCTCGTGAAATGAGTTTGGAAAATATTTCCTTCTCTTCCATTTTTGGAAGAGGCTGAGAAGAGTTAGTGTTAGTTCTCCATGGAATGTTTGATAGAATTTGATGCTACCTATACACATGATTCAGAAAATGCATTGACTTTCTGTCCTTCCTAGTCCCCTAGTAATGAAGGTATAGAGATTGAAAGGAACAAACCACAAAACAGTGAAGGAAAGGAGAGTGGGAAAAAACAACGTATTTCAGGAAAATGGAAAATAAGTGGTTAAGAGATAAAATAAACAGAAGAGGCCAAAATCCAGAAGATACTACAAGGTGGCTACAGTAAAGATGGGAGCCACTGGGATTAAGCGTGAGAGTAAAAAGTAGGGATGAAATCAGGGGATCAATTAGAAGTTTACACACAGAACAAGTGTTTCAATTCAATGACTAACCATCTTTATTCTCCACTTCCCTGAAAATGACTTTAGGCAGCATCTTTGTATTTAACAACCTTTCCATTTTGAAAACTTCTAGGAACACAGGTTCTTTTCCAAGGAAGCTGAACTCATTAACTGGGAAGTGGTAAGACTTCTCACGTTGGTGTTAACAACCAGAATAAATTCCTCCTCACCATCACATTAGGGAACCTACAGCTTGGTTGGCAGTTCTCATCCCACCCACCCTAGGCTGAAAATTTCAATCAACATGCCCTAACAAGTACTATTAGTCACTATCAAGTTCCCCACTCAAGGAGAGGGAGTATTACAGAAATGAACTACTTACAAACAAAGCAAATGAGAAAGGTATATGAAACCTAAAATAAACTGTATCTACATTCTTAAATACAAAAATACAGCAGAAAATTACCAGGCATTAGAATAAAAATGGAAGACGCTGTAATCCTAGCACTTTGGGAGGCCAAGGTGGGTGGATCATTTGAGGTCAGGAGTTCAAGACCAGCCTGGCCAACATGGTGAAACCCCACCTCTACTAAAAATTACAAAAGTTAGCTGGGTGGTAGTGGTGCTCTCCTGGGAAGTGGAGGTTGCAGTGAGTCGAGATCATACCACTGCACTCCAGCCTAGATGACAGAGTGAGATCTGTCTCACACAAAAAAAAGGGAGACAGAAAGAAAATGGGGTTAAGAAGAAAAATGAGAGAAGGGAGTGAGGAGGAGGGAAAAAAAGGAGAGAGAGAGCAAAGGGGAGAAAGAAGGGAGTAAAGAGAGAGAGGAATGGGAAGGGAAAGGGAGGGTAGAAAAAGAGAAATCTGAATTTGTGAGAAGGGTGAAATAACCTGGAACAACAACAACAAAACAAACAACTCTAAAAATGAAAAAACTTTAATAAGCGTTTTCAGAAAGAGTAAAAATATATTATATTCTCATCCCTTGAGGACCCACTGGCTCCAATTTTAGGTTTTAAGTTTCCTTTGTCACTATTTCTTACTATCAGTAAGGAGCGACACTTCATGCCATTTTTTCTGTTAGTAGTCTTCCAATGACTAAAGATAAATTTTATTTATTTTTTGAAACACAGAACACATTCTTACTTGCAATTACCATATGGCTTTATCGTACCGTTTTATACATCTGAGATACATTATGGAATCTTTTTTCCTGTATCTTGAAATATATTGATATTCATTATCTGAGTAATTATTTCATCACTATGCATTAATTATTTCTATGCACGCTTAAAAAGACTGATTTTTAAAATGTGAAATGAGGCAATTGTCTAAAAGATGATACAAGAATCAAATAATCACTATTGTATCATTCTTCAGTTTTCATACTCAAGATATAAAAGAAGTTTGGAGACACCATCTTTTGAGTTTCTTCTTTAGCTTTATTTAAACATAGTTAAAAATTCAAAATTTTAAAATTTGTGCCCACGGTCAGTGAGAAGAACATTGATGGAGGAAGTCATTTAACCATTATTAGATGAATCAGAAGCTAAATGCAAAAACAGCAGCGCATTAGCCAATGATGATAAAATTGATCACATAAGTAAAATCTCAGGCTATTTATCTCCAGATGATATCCTATATAAAGTTTCTCAAGCTCAAGAATTGATGCATGAAAATACGTTTCTAAAAATAGGGAGAAAACACAAAATATTTCTAAAAACGGAGAGAAATATGGTATTCTTATCCAGTAAGTCATTCAACAAAAATGATTTCACCATACGATATTCTGGGACATGACTAAGGACCATTCCATTTTGCTAAAATGACTTGTGATGGCATTCTTTCATCTTAAATGATATTTGCATACCAAAATTCACATAAAATGGCATGTAAATGAATATGCAGAAGGCAAGTGTATACATAAAGGTAGTGGAAAGAATAGGTGAGCTCAAAATGAAAGATCCATCTTTAATCATTTGAATTGATGTTTACAAATCTAAAATAGAAACTGTTTTGTAATTATGGAGCAAAAACAGCTG